TCCCTGCTGCTTCTGGCGTCGCCGCGCGGCCTCGAGTGTACTTCGTTCCACTCCTGCAGCAGGTTCTTGGTCTTCCACCTTCTACTGGTCCTCCTCCTCCCTTAGAGTGTCCACAGCCTGTCTCGTCCCAGCTACAGTTGCAGCCCACCTCCCCTTTGCCTGCTCCTTCTCCCTACACTGGTCCTACTGGAGGTCTGGCTGTGCGTCGTGAGCCTGCGTCTCGCCCTGCGTCGCCTGTGCGTGCTGCTCGCACTAGTGGTCGCAGTTTGCGTCAGCGTCCTCCTCCTGTCCCTGGCACGCACCCGATGTCTCTGCGTCCGTCCACTGCTCCTCTGCGTGCCCCTTTGCCTTCTCCTCCTGAGTCCTCTCTTCCTGCTCTTGCCGACCCGGAGTCGGACTCTCTTCGTGCTGCCAGTTCTACTGTCACGCGTCTCCTTGCTACTCTTGTCACTGACCCTTCTTTCGAGTCTACTGCTGCGTCTGCTCTCGCTACTGAGCTGGTCGACTTTGCTGCTCGCTGTCGCTTAGACTACGCTGCTAGTCTTCTCGCTGAGTCTGAGTTTGTCTGTCCTCCGTCCGTCGGGGGTGAGTGTGCCCTTGGCACGGACGTCCTTGAGGACAGGCAGGAGGAGTTCCAGTGTATGGCAGCTGCTTCACCTCATCTCGTGTCCGTACTGCTTACCCCTGAGGGAGACCCGGATGCACTTGACATCCCGACTCCGCGCTCTTACGCGGAGGCGATAGAGGGTCCCTACTCCTCTCAGTGGCAGGCAGCTATGGATGCAGAGATGGCTTCCTGGAAGTCCACAGGCACCTACGTTGACGCTGTCCCCCCTTCTGGGGCGAACATCGTCAGTGGCATGTGGATCTTCAGGGTGAAGCGGCCGCCGGGTTCTCCGCCTGTCTTCAAGGCGCGTTACGTGGCTCGTGGCTTCAGTCAGCGGCAGGGAGTTGACTACTTTCAGACCTTCTCCCCCACCCCGAAGATGACCACTCTTCAGGTACTGCTGCACGTTGCTGCTCACCGTGACTACAAGCTGCACTCTCTTGACTTCAGCACTGCTTTCTTGCAAGGTTGCCTGCACGAGGAGATCTGGCTGCGTCGCCCACCTGGCTTCACTGGGTCTTTTCCTCCCGGCACCCAGTGGAGCCTCCGGCGGCCAGTCTACGGTCTCCGCCAGGCACCACGTGAGTGGCACGACACACAAAGGACTACACTTGCGGCTCTTGGGTTTGCTCCTTCTACTGCCGACCCGTCGCTGTTTCTGCGCACCGACACCTCTTTACCGCCGTTCAACATCCTCGTGTACATCGACGACTTGGTCTTTGGCACAGCTGACACTGCTGGACTCGCCTACGTGAAGTCCGAGCTGCAGAAGAGACACACGTGCACAGACCTGAGTGAACTGCGCAGCTACCTTGGCTTGCAGATCACCCGGGACAGAGCACGCCGCACCATTACCCTGACTCAGTCACACATGGTACAGCAGGTCCTTCAGCGCTTCGGCTTCACGTACTCCTCGCCTCAGGCCACTCCTCTGCCTACTCGCCACTCACTCTCAGCTCTGCCTTTGGATGAGTCCGTAGAGTCGAGTGGCCCATATCCAGAGCTTGTTGGCTGCCTCATGTACCTGATGACCTGCACACGACCTGACCTTGCATACCCTCTTGGCATTCTTGCACGCTATGTTGCTCCTGGGAGACACCGACCAGAGCACATGGCTGCAGCGAAGAGGGTGTTGCGCTACTTGTGCAGTACGTTGGGCATGGGGCTAGTGCTTGGAGGGCGGAGTCCAGTGGTCCTCACTCGGCACGCAGACGCTTCTTGGGCTGACGACCAGGCTACGGAGCGGTCGTCCTAGGGTTACACCTTCAGCCTTGGTTCTGGCTCTGTTTCGTGGCGGGCTACTCGCTCGTCTTCTGTTCTCGGCTCCAGTTGTGAGGCTGAGATCTACGCCGGGGCCATGGCTGCACAGGAGCTTCGCTAGCTCACCTACCTGCTGACCGACCTTGGAGAGCCGCCTAGTTCTCCTGCAATCCTGTACGTAGACAACAAGGCCATGCTGGCCTTGTGTCGAGAGCAGAGACTGGAGCACAGAACAAAACACATTGCTCTCTGCTACTTCCTTGCTCGTGAGCTACAGCAGCGTGGTCAGTTGCGGCTTGCGTACGTGGCCTCTGAGGCCAACACTGCTGATGTGTTCACCAAGGCACTTGCGCCTTGTGATCATCAGCGCTTCTGCACCCAGCTGGGTCTTGTGCCCGTCTTGCCTCACTTGCTCTCCTCTTGACATTGCTTGTACTCTCACATATATGTATACCTGCTCTTGCTTGTCTAGCTTTATATATATGTGTGTACTCTTGCTTGTGAACTGGCCTTGTGGCCTTGTGCTCAGACTGTGTGGTGACTTTGTGATCCACCCTGAGCTTGCTGTGCTTTGCTTTCCTTGACTGGTCATGTGACCCCTTGTTCTCCCCCACTTTGCCTATGGGGGTGTGTCAGAACATTATAGCTTATGCTGTTGTGTAGGCTATAGTGGGGTATCCCATAGGGGGTACAACCCATTTAGGGTTCCCTATATGTACTCACTTCATTCATAGTTGATGCATTCTCGTTCTCATTTTCACATTGCCTACGTTTCCACACTTGCTGTAGTCTCTGTTTATACTGTGATCTATATGTATATACCTGCATGCTTGCTCTTGGTAGGTAGAGATCACTGTGTTGTTCTTTCTGCTTATATACCTCTGCATGTGGACTGGCCTTGTGGCTGTTTGCTTGTGCTCAGTGTGTGTGGTGACGTTGTGATCCACCTTGAGCTGTGTTTTGTTTCTTCTCTTGACTGGTCTTGTGACCATTGCTTGCTCTGGCTATCCCCCATTTCACCTATGGGGGTGTGTCAAAACATATGCATATTATTATCTAGACTATATTGGGGCTAGCCTTAGGGGGTACAAAAACATTCTCGACACTCTAGTCTTGTACCCCAACCTTCATCTAATCACACACAACTTCATGCCTAAGATTCTAAGAAAAAATGCATTGTCCTCGCCCCACGAGAGTGAAGGAGCCCGTCTCGCTGCAACAAGTTCTTGACATGTCTTCTAGATACCTGCAATCTGACAACCCCGGGGAATTCCAGAAAAGCTCATCCCCATTCTCATGTACTCCGGTTTCCTGCCATATTCGGACCTCGTCGCCATCGAGTGGCAAGACATCCAGTTCGACGACGAGGTCATGTGGATCCTCATTCCGTACTCCAAGACGGACCAAGCTGGAAAGGGCACATGGGTACCTATCGCTGCAACACACGATCCCTTCTGCCCTGTCCGCTGCACTCGACGACTTACTCAACTCGCAGGATATGACCAGCAGTCGGGGGGGGCGTTGATTCGCATCTTCGGTCACAGTTCCACCCAAGGTGGCCAAGCAAAGCCACCCTCATATCCGACAATCCGAAACTGGTGCAAATACTAGGCCTTCGGGAAGATCGGACTTCGAGAACAGCACCTGGGAACTCATTTCTTTCGCAAGGGTGCAGCCACTGCCGCGGCAAACACCGGTGTGCCAGACAGAATCTTCAAACGACTGGGCAAATGTCGTAGTGACACAGCAAAGGAGATGTATGTCACGCCTAACGCTGAACATCTCGTCAACGCCTCCCGCCAGTTGCAGGACCTGAACCACGCCCTGTCTCCAGCACAGCACGTAGAGGCACTCATCCGTCATCGAAAACCCCTGCTACCCATGTCTCAGGGTCCCCAGTTGAAATGAGAACGATGCCAAATCATAAGTAAAAGAAAGCAAGCTTTCTAAATAGTATAAATTTTAAACACACGAAGTGTTTTCAAATTTTCGTATTTCGAAAGCGCAGCTGCTTGTAACGCATGTTTTGGCATCGTCGAAGCGTGCCAAACGCCCTTCTCCAACTACAAATCGTGGGTTGGAGCTCATTCCCCTCCGCCCTCGTCTCTCATTTTCCAACGGCTCATACAACTCTCCCACCCCCCGCCCCAACATCGATGGACATCACGGACGCTGTTTGAACACGAAGATCGATAGCCAGTAGCATAATAGATAGCGAGTATAATGATTAATAGCTAGTACAATGATTGATACGTACCGTATACTCCCGGACAAAACACCCCCCCATAATTGTACACCCCCGGGTAGCTTGTGCGGGGTGGGTGTTATGATAGGCCTCGTTTCTACTATACCCCCCTTTTTGGCTGATTTTCTATAACACCCCCCCTTTTCTTACGGATTCATTATTATAGTCGTTAACGAGTAGCTGCACTACAGAAGAATGTCGTGTGAATTTCTCCCTCAATGAAATTTCGCGGTACATTCAAAGGCAATCTGCCGAGATTTGCCCCCTCCCACTATTTCTCTGTCGCCACGTGCAAGTGAATCTTCCGTTGCAAGTGGCAAGAGAGGTGCCACATGCCATTTTCGTGGGGGCGATGAAGTTCGAGGCCGAAACTCACATTCGCGCCTCAGGCAGTGATGCTAAAACGACTAGAAAACACCCACATTGACTAATTAAAAAAACACTAACACTAAGATATGCCATATGTAAAGTAAAGACCCGGGTATTACCGTATGTATTTTTTTCCTATGAGGAGACCCCCCCCATTTTTTCCCTGTATTTTTAGCTATACCCTAGGGTGTTATGTCAGGGAGAATACGGTAGTATAATATGTACTAGCACTTCTGTTTCCTAGCTTGAGATGCATGTTGTAATCTGCCAGTTGAAATGAAAACGATGCCCCGATGTCAAATCACAAGAGAAAGCAAGCTTTCTAAATTACTAGACTAACATTAGCCACTGCAGCAGGTTACCATATTGTCGTTTACCCTAAATGTCAGACTACCGTATTCATAATCATCCTATACTGTATAACAATTGACTATACAATACAGCACAATCAGAGCGTGTCATATGTGTCCTATCAACGTCAGCAGCCATCTATGCAGTCAGTCATCTCCTCAGTGCATCCTAACTCTGCTTCAGAGCAGCCACCCCAACTAATCCTACAACAAACATCTCCTCAATCACATCATAGGCAGCGATCCATGCTGCTTTCACGTCACCACTCCACGTATCACCCATGGCGTCAGCCATGGTAATCACGAAGGCATCCCTCAGTTTCTGAAATTGAACATCAGAGAATCGACAAGAGTATTAGGGGACGGGGAAAGACGAAGCCTGGCAACACAATACAGCACGTGATGTACAGTACTGCAGGAACCTGATTGCAAATATGAAGACTGTTGGGTACATTACATACCGCAGCATGCTTGAGCTTGACCCCATATCCAATGTGTCTCTGGCCTAGCGTTGCGAGGCTCTTCCTGTACATCTCCACCTGCTTCTCATTGTCCAGATTCGTAGCAATGTTGACCACCTGCACTCACGAACGTCATAGTAGGCATTAAAAAAGGCATTAATTACAATCAGCCGTTTTGTATGACAATCACTCAACTCTTCGTCCTCTCGCTTTCTCTCTCCAGAGCATTTTCTAGTTCCTTGAAACAGCAGTCCTACCAACACTTTCATCCCCACCCACTCACCTTCTTCAGAACAGTGGTGGCGTGTTCCTGAAGCGCCTTGTTGTCTCTCATGGGGCCCGTGTAGTCCTTGGTCATGGATATGAGGGCCTTCGCTTCCGGCACTATCTCGAACAAACTGCCAGTGGGAGACATCATTTTCAGCGGGTCAGCACAAGGTCAGGACCAAAGGTGCACAGATCTGAGTAGCTTCAAGCGCCGGGAGGATTAGAATTTCTGTCAGGAACTACTGGAAGTCAGCAAACTTCAGGAGTCGTGGAAAGTTTCAGAAAGGTGCTTACTTGATGAAGAGCGACATGGCGTGATACGGCACATCAGGCTGGAGCTTCGCCTTGAAGCTGTCTTTGATCAGTTGCACTTGCTCCGTGGGAAGGACGAATTCAGCGGCAGTGCCGAGCGAACCCATCGTATAAGCAAGAGGAAATGGCTTGGCGAGAAAGTGATTGAGTGAGCACCAGGCGACTGAGTGAGAGAGTTGTGGAAACTGGTCAGCTTCAGGTGTGATGATATGGCGGAGAGGAGCTAAGGCGATTCTGGGAGATACTGGTCTTGTGAGAGAGAATGGGGACGCTGATCAAGAGTAGTAAGTCGTCGACAAACTCAAGTTGGGTTAAGTTCAGATGAATCTGGATTGGTGACGCCTAGATAATCACTTCGGAGATTGGTGGTTCCGTGACCTTACGGACCCCGCAAGTGTCGCCTTTCATCCAAACGCGCGTCGACAAATACGAGGTAGTAGTCGGAGGTAGCATAGTCATCTAGCCCTTTCTAAGACCGAGAGGGCGGTTAACAGGCGACCGGAGAAAGGAGGCTTCAACCCATGGAAGTTCCAAACGTCGCTTCAGATTCAGAACTAGACGAGAATTGCTACGAAATTGCGGCTAAGGTGGTCGGTGCGATCATAATCCGCCAGATGCGACAAGCAAGCTCAAGGTGTGCGAGATAGAGTCGAGACAGCCAATCAATACACGCGGGTGGCGATGATGCGCTGTCAGGCCAGCGCTTTGCTTGGAAGAGAGGGAACTTTGCCATTGCGACTACTTCTCTCCTTCCCAGGCAAAAAGCGAAGACGTTCTTTGCGCGCGTGGAAGGTCGCCCACACGCAGCCACCAGCGGGAAAATTATTCTGATGGCCCACGAGATGCGTGCTGCTCCGACGTGGACACACAAGCCCTAGGAGGCTGTGCATCGCGTCGCGACTCCAAATCCACAGCCCTCACGACCAGACCACACCTCGTAGCGACTGACACGTGTTCGGCCCCAGCCTCCCTGTGTTAACACCTAGGGAAACAGAGACGTTACTCTTTGGAGCCCTTGCTTCTGGAGGGTGTGAGTCATCCCCCAGAGTTGCTCGAGAAGGGTGGGGGGCACCAACATCGAGACTCCACAAGAACGAAAATGAGGCTGCGATATTATTATTGAATCTGCTGATTTGCATTCTACTGTAACACAACATCGTTCAGCTGTACAGTACAAGAATTTACTTCTTAACGACACCCTCCTGAACGCGGTTTCGTCCTTTCGCAACTTGAGAAGGTAGTTGACACTTGAAAGCTCCGTGGGGTAGCGTCGTCTCGGAGGCTCCATAGGGTAGCGTCCTCACGGATCACGAAAGGCCAGCTGTACACTTCATTACATGCCTCGCGAAGCCTATCAGCGATTGAATGGCAATGCAGGATGGTAAATATTGCTAGATTGCGTAAATCAACTTCTAACATGATTAAGAATTCATTTGTGACTCTTTTATGACATGTTATTAGGAAGCACATTAGCTATTGAAAGGTACAACGGCAGACCGTCTCTTCACAGAATGCGTAACCTAACTTCAAATATTATTGAGAGGTCAGGTTATATGAAGGACATGCCTCGGGACGGGAGGCAGAGGCCCATCAGCTATTGCAAGGCACAATGAATAGCCTCTCTTTAGAATGTGTAATCTCAAATTCCGATATTATTGACCTTGTGCTCTCAGTCGTAAACGGGTTTCTCTTGCAGCCCTTCTCTGTTGCCTGTCAGCTGCATTCGACTTGGCAGATTTATTCAGCATAGCCCGAGTGTGGGCCGCTCTTGCCTGTAAAGAACAGCAAAATAGTTCGATTCACGTTGAAATGCGTGGTGTAGATACGATAACTGAGAGCAACAGGATGCCACATAATGACTTACGGTAGCAGCATAGCCCAAGGAATAAAAAACTGAAGATGAGGTACGGTAAACAACATTGTGACCACAAACGCAGAGTCAACACATGAAGCTCACCAGCAACTGATTCTTTCGCATGGTTGAGATACCATCCGGATACGACTCCCCGTCCAACGAGAGTGGCAGGGCGGCACTTATGGAAACGCCGGGCGGCAAAGGAAGAGGATTGGAAGAGGAGGAAGAGGAGGTAGGGCCATGAGGAGTTTGTGTTTGCGCGAGAGAGAAAGCAACATCGATTGGAGAGAAGACCATGCTGGTTGAATCTGAATGTGAAATGGAATCGCATGGGATGGGGGCGGTTAGGGGAGGGCCATTCCTCGTGTGAGAAAACGGCAGGAGGTAGAAGGGGAAGGTGGGAGGGAAAGGTAAGAGGGAATGGTGGGAGAGGGAATGAAGGAATCTGAAAGACTGAAAGTGTTTCACGATACCTACGTGTTTGAGAAGAAGGCCCGTTTCCTCACTCTGTTGCGCTCCACCCCCTGCCATGTGGCATTCTTAAAATGCTGCCACGTTGCATCCTTAATCTGCTGCCACGTGGCATCATCAAACCTGCAGCCACGTGGCACCACATACCTCCTGCCATGTGCAGCGCACGCATGGCCTCCATGAGATCGTGCACGCCGCACCGCCCACGAAACGCATCCATCTGACCCGCAGCACCAGCAGCACCAGCAGCACCAGCACCAGCAGCACCGCTGCTGGCTGCGATCCTGTCGGTGCTGCCACCACTGCTAGCTGTGTTCTTGCTGCTACCACCCTCATCAGCAGTGATGCTGGCACTGCTAGCTTCCACAACAGCAAGCCTCCCAATCACCCGCCGCCCACTCACTCCTCTACCCCCATCCGCACTCCCAACAACCTCCTCTCCCTCCTCAACTGTACTTGCCACACCCTTCCTCCCACCCTTCCCTCTTAGTCCCCCCTTCGTTCCTCCCTTCTGTCCCGCCCACTCGTCTCCCCTGCATATCCCTCCTGCCCCTCTTTCTTCCACCTCAGCCTCCTCCTCCTCCTCCCCCTCCCCGGCCACCACAGCGGCAGCCACAGCAGCGGCAGTGGCAGCGGCAGCAGCATCGGCCTCAAAATCCACATCTACAGGAAACCCCTCCTCTGCAAGCCTCTTTCCTGAAAACACTGACCCTTGCGTCAAGTTCCCTTGATCTCCAGCTCCCAGGAGCCCCTTTTCCACCTTCTCCCTCCTCTGCCTGTTCTCCCCATTCCCTCCCTCCCCTCCCTCTCCCCCCTCCTCACTCTCCTCCTCCTCCTCGTCCCTCCAGGGCCCGAAGTGAGAGTGAGAAACGGTGGGATCCTCTGCTCCCTCTCCACTCCCCCCCTCCTCGTCGCCCATCAACCCTCGCGGAGCCGAGCTGGCAGCCTCTGACTGGCTCTTGAGATTCACTGTGACGGCTGAGGGGTGTGCATCTGCTAGTATCTCCATCTTGAGGGTGGGGAAACGAGCGATGGAGCCTGGGAGGGAGGGAGGGAGGGAGGGAGGGAGGGAGGGAGGGAGGGAGGGAGGGAGGGAGGGAGGGAGGGAGGGAGGGAGGGAGGGAGGAGAGTGAAGAAACGTGAATAAGAAGAGATCAGAAGCAACTTAAATATTGCAGATGCTAGTATCTCCATCTTGAGGGTAGCGATGGAGCGAGAAGAAAGATATGTGATTGGAAAGAAAGATATGTGATTGGAAAGAAAGATATGTGATTGGAAAGAAAGATATGTGATTGGAAAGAAAGATATGTGATTGGAAAGAAAGATATGTGATTGGAAAGAAAGATATGTGATTGGAAAGAAAGATATGTGATTGGAAAGAAAGATATGTGATTGGAAAGAAAGATATGTGATTGGAAAGAAAGATATGTGATTGGAACGAAAGATATGTGATTGGAACGAAAGATATGTGATTGGAAAGAAAGATATATGATTGGAAAGAAAGATATATGATTGGAAAGAAAGATATGTGATTGGAAAGAAAGATATGTGATTGGAACGAAAGATATGTGATTGGAAAGAAAGATATGTGATTGGAAAGAAAGATATGTGATTGGAAAGAAAGATATGTGATTGGAAAGAAAGATATGTGATTGGAAAGAAAGATATGTGATTGGAAAGAAAGATATGTGATTGGAAAGAAAGATATGTGATTGGAAAGAAAGACATGTGATTGGAAAGAAAGATATGTGATTGGAAAGAAAGATATGTAATTGGAAAGAAAGGTATGTGATTAGAAAGAAATGAGAAGAAGTTTGAGTAGCACATCTGCTAGTGTTTCCATCTTGAGGGTGGGGACATGCGTGTTGGGGCCTGGGAGGAAGGGATGGGATGGAGAAGGAGAGTGAAGAAACGTTGTTGAGGAGAAATTGGAAGCAATTTGACTGGCTCATCTGCTAGCATCGCCATCTTGAGGGTGGGGAAGCGAGCGATGGAGCCTGGGAACGAAGGAGGTGGAAAAAAAGGTGGAGGGAGGGGGAGCTGGAGGGAAGGGGATCGACAGAGGTGAAGGAGGTGCGCGTGCTGGTGTCAGTTGTCAGGATAATGCTCCCAAGACAAAAAGCATTCATTGGAAATGTGTTTCGACTGCTAGCTCACCTTCAGAAGCAAGCAATGTCACCTTAATGTTGGGATCCACATAAACCTGGAAAATCACCTGAACCTGAAAATCACCTGAACCTGAAAATCACCTGAACCTGAAAATCACCTGAACCTGAAAATTACCTGAACCTGAAAATCACCTGAGGCTGACAGCTGGACCCAGAGGGTCTGGAAGAGCCAGTACTCAACAACAGAAAAACCCTGCTGGAAATCCTGGAAAAGAATTTGAGAAGGGGGGACGGGGAGGGGAGGGAGCAGGGGAGAGTGAAGAGCATGAAGAGAGGGGAGAATTGGTGTGTTTTGGAGAATGTGAATTGTGGCAAAATGCTGAAGGAATGGCTGTGCCTGGAATGACATGGCATGGCCCTTGCTTTAAACCATGGAGCACGAGAGAAGGTAGGGATACAGAGAACGGGGGGAGGGGAGGGAGGGTAGGGGAAGGGAGGGGAGGCGACGGCTTGGTGGTTGGAGAAGATGAGAGCTGGAAAGAGTGGAAAACATGTGGTGCTGAACGGTGTGGCATGATCAGATGTGGTGGTCGATCATGTGCTGTGCCATGTGCTGTGCCATGTGCCGCTGCCATGTGCCGCATGCCATGTGCCCCACACCACACTACACCACACCACACCACACCACACCACACCACACCACACCACACATGCACGCACCACAATCTTCACACACGCAGGAGCGTCCACATCCATGCCGCTCTGCCCCTCACGACCCTCCTCCTCCCCCTCCTCCCCCTCCTCCCCCTCCTTCTCCACCTCCTCATCCCCATCCCCATCCCCATCACCACCACCACCAGCAGCAGCAGTAACCCCCAGATTCTCCCGCGCCACGCGCCGGCCATCGCTGGTCTCCACTCTCACTCGCAGGCGGTGGCGAAACTGCTGCTGCTCCGCCTGCTCTGCCTCCCAGTCAGTGTGCTTGCGAGGCAGCACTGCCATGCCATCCTTGTCCTATAAAGATGGGAGGAGGGAAGGAGCGCAGAGAGAATCTGAAAGCGCCGCTGCCGTCCTCCACCTTCCGTGCCCTCCTTGCACTGCCGTCACTTGGAATTAGAAAGCGCCTCCCAGATGGCACGTGTGCAAGGAGCAACCTTGCTGTGCTGTGCCCTCCTTGTCTTGCCGTCAGAGTGCCATTGCAACTTGGAGTGTACAATAGTTGGTAAAGATTGTGAATCACAAATTGCAATTAAATTAACCACTGCATATCGACGAAACTGTAAACTGTATTAGCTACAATATTCATCTCACTATACCGGGTTCATTCTCCTCTCCCTCTAACAAAAAAAGGCACTGGCAAGCTCTTGAAGGAGCACCTGAGCGCATCTGAATCGGCAAATGACCATTTCTGAAAGAGCACCTGGTTCAACCTCACCTGAAAGGACACCTGGCCTCACCTGAAAGAGCACCTGGCCTCACCTGAAAGAGCACCTGGCCTTGCACATCAAGGCGAGGCACGAAGAGAATCACATAGCCATTGTGAATGGAGACCACCTGAGTGGGTGTGGGGACGAGGCAGGCGGGGAGGCAAGGGGGATGCGCAGGGGTGCAGGTGTGAAGGCAGGGGGAATGCGCAGTGGGGGAGGAGAGGAGGACGGAGAGGTGAGGGGGAGAGGTGGGAGGGGAGACGTTGGGAAGGAGGAGGGGGGTTGAAGAGGCGTAAAACAAATGAGCGAATTCAGGGATTGCAAACACTGTGCGATGGTATTCTCAACAGACAGGGGCACCAGCGTAGAGCACCAAACTGGTCGTAACCTCGATGGCTCGGCTCAAGGCGTGGAACACCTCCCGTGGCGGATCACCCATCGCTTCAATTCACCCCTCCCCTTGCTCCCTCGCCATGCTCCTCCTCCCCACAACCCACTCCACCAAATCTCCTCCTTCAGCAGAAGATGGCAGCAAAGCCAACCCCTTGCCTCCCCCACACCAACCACCCCTCCCATGCTCCTCGCCCCCTTCCTCACCACAGTGCGCTCCACCAAGGGCTGATCCCGCAGCAGCAGCAGCAGCAGCGGCTGGCAGTGAAAATCCCCCTCTTCCTCCTCCCCTCGCCCCCCCAAGAAACCTACCCCCCCACCCCCTTCTGCTCACCACAGCGCGCTCCACCAAGGGCTGATCCCGCAGCAGCAGCAGCAGGCAGAGCTCGGAGCTTCTCTTTGACGCCATCTTTGCCAGCCGGTGCTGCTTGTTCAGATGCGCCGCTAGCTGTGGGAATGGGGGGGGCGAGAAAGAGAGTGGGAAAGGGGAGGATGCAAGAGAAAGAGAGAAGGGGATATGAGTCAGCACAGGCAGCAGGAGACAGAGCTCCGCGTTCCCCTTTGATGCTAGGCTTTGCCAGGCAGTGCTGCTTGTTCAGATGGGCCGCTATCTGTTGGGGGGGGGGGGTAAGGGAAGGAGAGGGGAAGGAGGGAAGAAGAGGGACGGAGCCGAGATCACAGGAAATGCTGTGTGAGATGGTGTACAGCGAGCAGGTGTGGCGGAGGAAATAAGGGAGAGGGGAGCTATCGAGGGGGTTGCACGCCTGTGCATGGCACCACACCATGGTACGAGAGTACGCCTGTGCATGGCACCACACCATGGTACGAGAGTACGCCTGTGCATGGCACCACACCATGGTACGAGAGTACGCCTGTGCATGGCACCACACCATGGTACGAGAGTACGCCTGTGCATGGCACCACACCATGGTACGAGAGTACGCCTGTGCATGGCACCACACCATGGTACGAGAGTACGCCTGTGCATGGCACCACACCATGGTACGAGAGTACGCCTGTGCATGGCACCACACCATGGTACGAGAGTACGCCTGTGCATGGCACCACACCATGGTACGAGAGTACGCCTGTGCATGGCACCACACCATGGTACGAGAGTACGCCTGTGCATGGCACCACACCATGGTACGAGAGTACGCCTGTGCATGGCACCACACCATGGTACGAGAGTACGCCTGTGCATGGCACCACACCATGGTACGAGAGTACGCCTGTGCATGGCACCACACCATGGTACGAGAGTACGCCTGTGCATGGCACCACACCATGGTACGAGAGTACGCCTGTGCATGGCACCACACCATGGTACGAGAGTACGCCTGTGCATGGCACCACACCATGGTACGAGAGTACGCCTGTGCATGGCACCACACCATGGTACGAGAGTACGCCTGTGCATGGCACCACACCATGGTACGAGAGTACGCCTGTGCATGGCACCACACCATGGTACGAGAGTACGCCTGTGCATGGCACCACACCATGGTACGAGAGTACGCCTGTGCATGGCACCACACCATGGTACGAGAGTACGCCTGTGCATGGCACCACACCATGGTACGAGAGTACGCCTGTGCATGGCACCACACCATGGTACGAGAGTACGCCTGTGCATGGCACCACACCATGGTACGAGAGTACGCCTGTGCATGGCACCACACCATGGTACGAGAGTACGCCTGTGCATGGCACCACACCATGGTACGAGAGTACGCCTGTGCATGGCACCACACCATGGTACGAGAGTACGCCTGTGCTTGTGCTCGCTTGCGCTTACTTGAGTACTGCATGTGGGCTCAGCGGGGAAAGGCTGCGGGAGGAGCTAGCCAGGTGGGATATGAGTGACACACCTGCGTTGCTTCCTCTTTTTGTGTGCATCGTTCTCCTTTGTGGTTTGTGGATTGGTCGTTTGCTTTCTTTTTGTTTCAGTTACAGTTTTGTTGGTTTGTTATTTTGACATTTTGTTGTGTTATTTTTTTGCCTTTTTGATGTCCTCACCTTGTCCCAGTCAACGCCTCGTGACTCTCGCTCCACCGTCTCCTCCCTCCTTCCGTCTCCCTCCTCGCCCTCAACCCCCACTTTATTTTGCTCAGCTCTGCCCTCCCTCCCTTCCGCTGCATCCCCCTCCCCTACCCCCACCCCCGCCCCCACCCCCGCCCCCACCCCCGCCCCCACTCCCTCCTCCTCCCTCACTCCCTTCCCTCCCCACACTCTGGCTGCAGCACCCCACGCCTTCCTCCTCCCACCTCCTCCCCCACCCGACCGCCCTCCTTTTTCTGCCCCCCCTTCCCCTGCTCCGCCCTGTCCCCTCCCTCCATCCCCGTTTCCCTCTTCAACAGTCCCCCCCTTCCCATCCGCCCCCTGGACAGTACCTCTCCCTCCCTGCTTCCCGCCCGCCTCCCCACGATCCCGCTTCTCTTGCTGCAGTGCTGCCAGCAGCTGCCGGTGCACGAGCAGATCAGCATAGCGGCGAATGGGCGAGGTGAAGTGGGAGTAGAGGCTGGAGGGAGGGAGGGTGGATGAAGTGGTTGTGGAAGGGGGAAGGATGGGAAAGACGAGGGGAAGGAGGGGAGGGAAGAGGGAACAAAAAAGGAAAGGTGAATCAACTCAGGGCCGCCAGCAGCTGCCGGTGCACCAGCAGCAGCAGGTCAGCATATCGGCGGCAGATTGGGGAGGTGAAGTGGGAGTAGAGGCTGCAGAGAGGCAAGGGGAGAGAGAAGGACGGGAGAGGGAAGCAGGAGAGAGAGTTTATGAAGTCAATGCAGCGGTGCTGCTGGGTTCATTGAACAGCTGCTGAGTGAAGTGCCTTTTGAGGCGCCTCAGATTTGCGGGTGTAGAGACGACATTTGAGGCGCCCCACAAGGAGGGTTGTATGAACTCAGAGCTGCTGCTGCTGCTGCTGCTGGAGATCATTCCACAACTGCTGCTCTGAGTGAAGTGCTCTGACCTGCTCTCAGCTCATTCCCATTCACCATAGCGAAGAATGGGCGAGGTGAAGTGGCAGTCAAGGCTGGGGGACCGGAGGGTGGGCAAGGAGGACGCTTCTGCACTTCTTAACAGGTACTTCTATAAGAGTGAGTGCACATGCCACTCACTCACACCAATTCGAGGGCCCAGCAAGAGGTCCTGACGCTGTCCGCTGCTGCTGCTGCTGCTGCTGCTGCTGCTGCTGCTGCTGCTGCTGCTGCTGCTGGCAGATACTCCGCCTAGGGATGAGCAAAGGGCGAACACGGACATGTTCGTGTTCGCCCCTTCTCGAACACGTCCTTTTGCCGAACCGAACAGTGTTCGGCTCGGCGAACAGTTTAGCCAAAAACAGGTGTTCGCTGTTCGCCTGTGGAGGCGTGTTCGGGCGAACCTCGAACACGTTCGTGTTCGACACGAGGCGTTTTGCAGCAGCGCCACGAACACGAACGTGTTCGGGCGAACATCGAACACGTTCAGGCGAACGATTTAAGCTGAAAAACAAAACCTGTTCGGTTCGCCTCGAACGTGTTCGAGGCGAACCGAACAGGTGTTCGCCACCTTGCTCAAGCCTAACTCCGCCTGACACTATTGCACTGTAACGAGGTAACTCGTGAGTCGACTCTAAAGGGCGAGTGCACTCACTCCACTGCCCTGCTGCCAGGTACTTCTTTTGCCCAACTGGATAATCAGCACTTTTGAGTTGATCCTGCCACACACTAAGTATAGTGACCTCGACACATGCTACTCACTCCACTGCGAGGCCGTAGTGATATGCCCCGATGCCGTCCGCTGCTGCCGATGATGCTGGTAGGTACTCCGCCTGATGTGCATGTGCATGTGGATGGCATGGGGATGGCATGGGGATGGCATGGTGATGGCATGGGGATGGCATGGGGATGGCATGGGGATGGCATGGTGATGGCATGGGGATGGCATGGGGATGGCATGGGGATGGCATGGGGATGGCATGGGGATGGCATGGGGATGGCATGGGGATGGCATGGGGATGGCATGGGGATGGCATGGGGATGGCATGGGGATGGCATGGGGATGGCATGGGGATGGCATGGGGATGGCATGGGGATGGCATGGGGATGGCATGGGGATGGCATGGGGATGGCATGGGGATGGCATGGGATGTGAACGCATGCAGGTCAATGCAAATGGTCACATGCACATGCAGGGAGAGTGAGAAACGCACAGCAGATCAGAGTCAAATGTGTGCAAGAAGTGACATGTGGGATCACGTGCTGCAGTGTAGGTGGTCAGAGAATTATAGACCAAATCACCCATGTTCAGGGTTGCAAGGTTGCAAGATGTGAGCATCCGCAAAGGAAAGGAATGAAGGTGCAAGCGTGCATGATCATGGCATGTTTCCCATTCCCATGGTACCATCACATCTCATTGTAAGTCCCCAGTGTTCCTCTGACCTCTCCATGTCTCATCTGCGTGCCTCACCTCTGAGAGTGCACGCGTGCTGAGAGCCTTGAGCCCGTACTGCAGCAACAGCCACATGAGATGATGGCGCGGAAGAGACAGGAAGATACGCAGGAGACATGTGCGAAAGGGGCATGTGCGAATAGGGTAAGACAAATGTAACGCACGGCAGCAGGGGACCACAACGGGAGAATGAGCATCAAGTTCGGGGATTTTTTCGTTTTAAGAGTTCGGAAAAATTGAAGAGGGAGCCCATCAAGAGCATCCAAGGTAGCAGCAAGCGGAAGGGGAGTTAGAGAAGGAGCTTCATGAGTTGACTTCAACGGAGGGTTTGGTGTGGAGCTCACATCCAGGACGGAGTCTCCCAGGTGCTTCACTGCTGCCAGCGACGCTGCTAGCACCTGTTGGGAGGGCGATAGGGAGTGATGATTATGGTTTATTGCTCAGAAGAAGGGGGGGCAGGGGAGGGGAGGAGAAGTTACGGAAGGGGAGGGGAGGGGAGGGAAGGAGAGGAGAGGAGAGGAGAGGAGAGGAGAGGAGAGGAGAGGAGAGGACAGGAAAAGGAGAGGAGAGGACAGGAAAAGGAGAGGAGAGGACATAAAAAGGAGAGTAGAGTAGTGAAGGGAAGGGGAGGCAAGCACGATGAGCATGGGGAGTAGAAAACATTCCAAGCTAGTATGATTGGTTGCATGACTCCTTGGGAAGAAACGATGTGAAAGGTTGAACATTCAGTTGCTCCATGCGCCCTGGATGAATGCTCACCTTGTTTGTTGACGTTTCGAGTGCAATGCCTCGCACCGCGCAGCACTGAGAGGAGGGCACACAGAGACAAGAATAGAAGAAAGAGGTGCAACACAGGGCATCCACACACATGAAACCACTGTAGAGTTTACAGAGGCTTATATAGATGCTTGTTAGCAGGTGATCTGCATGCCATGCTGCCGTCACGCCATATCAACCACATACATGACACAGCACTCAGACCTTGTTCACCCCACCATCATCCACATGCATCACACAACACGCGCACCCGCTTGACCCCACCACCTTCACATGCATGAGATGGCACCCTTAGCTCTCACGCACACTACATTCACCCCACCACCATCCACATGCATCACACAGCACAGCACGAACACCTTCTTCACCCCACCCATCACCACCCTCACATGCATGAGATGGCGGAAGCCGTTTGGGCGAGGAGGAGCGTGGCGCCGCAGAAAGGCGGTCGATGGGAAGGCCCTGCCTCCGTTCCAACAAACCATGATGGGGGTGGGGAAAGAAGAAGGAACGAAAGTGCAATCGAATTGCAGCGTAAGACAGGGTACGAGCATGCAACAGTGACAGAAAGAAGGTGCCAAAAGCTGCCATGTGATTGTGGGCCGTGTGATTGTGGGCCGTGTGCGTTTTGGAGGGCTATGTGGTGGGTTGGGTGTGCCAGAAAATCTGTTGTGTGCGTGCAGGTTGGGGTTCTCACCGGGTGAGCTTGCGGGCGACGGCAGCATTGGCCAGCACCATGAGCTCCGCCACCACCGCATTCATCTGATGGTGGGCACAGGGCAGGGGGGAGTGGAGAAGGAGGAGGGGCACTGGCGAATGAGGAAGGAGAATCGCACGGGATACAGCAGCATTGGAGGGCACGGCACCAAGAGCTCTGCCACCACCACATCCATCTGATGGCCAACAGCAGACAGGGAGGATGTTTTTGAGACGTCTTTCGAGTCGACTCAAAAGTCATTGAGACGTCTCAAAAACACCCTCTCAACACCACCGCGTCGATCTGATGGCCGGCAGCGGACTTGGAGAGGTGAGGGAGAGAGTGCTGGAGAGTGAGGGAGGAGGATTGCATAGGAGTGAGGGACGGTGTTGGCGAGCAGTGTGAGATCTGCCACCAGAGGGGGGACGTTCAGGGGGGACGTTCAGAACCGCAGTGTTGGCAAGCAGCATGTGATGCACCGCAGGGGGGAGGGGAGGCCGTGCATTCCGTTCCGGGAGGACAAAGGGGGTGTGTGGTACAACAACAGGGAGGACGAAGGGGGTGTGTGGTACAACAACAGGGAGGACGAAGGGGGTGTGTGGTACAACAACAGGGAGGACGAAGGGGGTGTGTGGTACAACAACAGGGAGGACGAAGGGGGTGTGTGGTACAACAACAGGGAGGAGAGTTGCAAGCGAGTGGAAGTGGAAGGAGGCACTGGCGAGCCTAGCATGCAGTAGATCGGTTTTGTGGATTTTTAGAACCGAGCACAACCTCCCTTTCACCACCAACCCTTCTCACTACTTCCAGAACACCTTTTTGGCTGCGCCTCTGCACTTGTCAAACTGGAGGTGATATTGTCACCGAATATGCACTTCGTGCATATGCGATAACAGTTGGTGCGCGGGTGTAGATGCAAGTGTAGGTTCAGGTGTAGTCTTTGTATGATTACAATTTGTGGGTGAGTTGCTGGGGAGTATGGGGGGTTGAGGCGAAGTTGTTGGGAAGGGTTAGAGGAAACATCGAGGGGTGGGAATCTAACGAGCCAATCTGAAGCAACTGGGCCTGGCTCGAGGCGCACATCGAGAAGTGTGCGACTGAGCCAGGTTCAGGTAAATTCAGTACCAAACACCCTCTCGTTGCTTTTCTCCTGTTATTCTCTCATATTAGTGGAAAGCTGTTACCTCAGATCTAGCATCCGGTGGCACTCTACTATGGGAGGACCTACGGGGTGAGGGAGGAAACTCTTTCAACCATGTAAGGAGAAGGAAGGCAAGGGAGTGACAAGAGGAAGAGCAGGTTGCAAGGATGAGGTGGTTCTCCGACAATATCGAGTCTAACTGTACCCCCCCCCCCTCACCACGATCCCGGCTGTCACTAACCGGAATCTCCTGCTTGCAGAACACTCTCCTGGGCGTCCCTGTGCTCTCGTCCAACTCAAATCGCAGCTCTCACGGCAAGCCCCAGCGCACCCACACTCGCACCACCGCCTCCCCTTCCTCACCAGCCCAGCCCACCCCACCGGGATCTCCTGCTTGCAGAACACCCGTTGGGGCGCCCCTCTGTTTTGACCAAACTCAGACCACAGCTTTCACTGCAAGCCCCAGCGCACCCGCCTTCTCACCACCGTGTCCCCTCACACTCACTCACCAACACCAAACCACCCACCGGGATCTCCTGTTTGCAAAACACTCGTGTGGGCGTCCCTCTGCTCTCATCAAATTCGAACCGCAGCTCCGCACTCGCCAGCTCCAGCGCCCCCGCCCTCTGCCTCTGCCGCCGCAGCTCCTGGGATTGATTCGATGAGTAGCGGGGGCAGGGGGTCATGTAAGAAGGGAGGGAACAGAGCTCAGCGCCGCACTCGCCAGCTCCAGCGCCCCCGCCCTCTGCCTCTGCCGCCGCAGCTCCTGAGATTGATTCGATGAGTAGCGGGGGCAGGGGGTCATGTAAGAAGGGAGGGAACAGAGCTCAGCGCCGCACTCGCCAGCTCCAGCGCCCCCGCCCTCTGCCTCTGCCGCCGCAGCTCCTGGGATCAGCAATGAGAAGGGGGGAGGAAAGAAGAGGGAACCAGGCAAGGAGGGCACAGAGCTCTGCTTTGCACTCGCCAGCTCCAGCGCCCCCGCCAGCTGCCCCTGCCGCACAGCTCCTGCAACTGAGTGAGTCCAGTAATGGAGGGGAGAAGGCAAGTAGCCAGATGATGGGGGGAGGGAGGAAGCCATACAAATGATGTGGGAAAAGAACTCAAGTGCAGCTCAGAGGAAGGTTGCTTACAGAGTAGGGGAGGAGGTGTGAGGCAGAGCGAGCGGCGGAAGCAGTGAAAATAGAGCTTCGGAAAGCAGGTGCCGCAGCTGGGGCCCTGGCTTGGGAGAAGGCTGCGTTGGAAGAGCAGCTTCGGGAGATGCAGAATCTGGAGGAGCGGGGTAAAGAGGAGAGGAGGGAGCTGGAAGAGGGAAACATTCTCCCACCTCAGACCCTCTTCCAGCTCCCTCCTCTCCTCTTCACCCAGCTCCTCCCGACTCTGCATCTCCCGAAGCTGCTCTTCCAACGCGGGCTTCTCCCGAGCCAGGGCCGCAGTTGCGGCACCCGCTTCCCGAAGCTCTATTTTCACCGCTTCTGCAGCCCGCTCTGCCTCACACCTCCTCCCATTCTCTGTAAGCATCCTTCCTCTGAGCTCCATCACTTCTTCCTCCTGCAACTCAGGCTAGCCCTGAGGGCGTTGTTAGCCTTGAGGGCGTTGTTAGCTCTCTCAACCTTGCCTCTCAACCCAGCCAGCCAACCAGCGCCACATGCCCCTTGACAGTAGGTTTCAGTACTGACCCGAGCAAAAGCAGTAAGAGTGGCGATGCACGACTTGGCTCGCGCCACCTCCCTCTGCCCGCCCGCCAGTTGGTGCTCCGCTGGCAACGGGTGCACTCCGTCTGCTATGGCCTGTGCTTGTGCGTATGAGAGCTGTGCAGCGGGGCAGGGGCGGGGGGATGGAAGTGGGGGGGGGGGAGGGGAGAGGATGGAGCATGAGTGTGCTGTGCGCCACCTCTCTCAGCCCTCCGCCAGGCGGTGTTCCGCTGGCAGCAGGTGCACTCCGCCTGCTATGGCCTGTGCCTGGGCATACGAGAGCTGTGAGAGAGGAGAGGAAGAGAGGGAGAGGAGCACGAGGGGAGAACGGAGTGTGCTGTGCCACTTCCGCTGGCAACGGATGCACTCCGTGTGCTATGGCCCGTGTCTGCACGTACGAGAGCTGCGAGGGGAGAGGGGGGTGGGAGGGGGGGTGGAAGAGGAGGGTTGAGTGGGTAACTGTGTGTCTGCTCCCTCTTTCACTCGCCTCGTCTGCCAGGCGATGTTCATACAGCAGTGGATGACTCCATCTGCTATGGCCTGGGCGTACGAGAGCTGCCAGAGGGGGGGATGGGGAGACGGGAGAGGGGAGTGTGGGTGTGATGTGTTTCCCCCCGCCTGCCAGGCCATGCTCCTCCAGCAGTGGATGCACTCCGCCTGCTGTGGTGTTGCCTGTGCTTGTGCATACCAGAGCAGTGGGGGGGGGGAGGAAGGGGTGAGAGGGAGGATGGGAAAGGAGGAGGAGCAGGATGGGGGAGACGTGTGTGCTGTCTAGGGTGTTGTTGCTTCTACAGCAATGTACGAGAGATTTGCAGATGGGAAGGGTGAGAGTGGAAGGAAGGAGGATGGGATGTGTGGGGACCATAGGGACGGGTGAGGGGGAGATCAAGACAAGCAAGCAGAGCAATGAGAACATAGGTGAAGAGCATGGCACAACGGAGAAAAGAAACAAGAGTTGGTACACGAGAGGAGAGTCAAGAGCGTGGAATGCCGACAACGAAGCACATGAGGTGATTTCGATCATCACTGCAATTCCATTTCCACAGCACTGGTCACCTGGTGGTTGGATCGGATGACGGTTCGGCCGAACCAAGGCGGCCCCACGAGTGCGAAGTGGTGGGAGGGGTTGAGCGTCCAGATGACGCTCACGGCCAGCCGCGTGCGGCCGCCCAGCAATGAGCAGAGACCCTCGCTGGTGGATGACAAGGGGAGGGGAGACGTGGGAAGGGGAGTGGAGGGCAAGGGAAAGGAGGGGTCGAGCGTCCAGATGACACTCACTGCCAGCCGCGTGCGGCCGCCCAGCAATGAGCAGAGACCCTCGCTGGTGGATGACAAGGGGAGGGGAGACGTGGGAAGGGGAGTGGAGGGCAAGGGAAAGGAGGGGTCGAGCGTCCAGATGACACTCACTGCCAGCCGCGTGCGGCCGCCCAGCAATGAGCAGAGACCCTCGCTTGTGGATGACAAGGGGAGGGGAGACGTGGGAAGGGGAGTGGAGGGCAAGGGAAAGGAGGGGTCGAGCGTCCAGATGACACTCACTGCCAGCCGCGTGCGTCCTCCCAGTAGGGAACAGAGACCCTCGCTGCAGTGAGGAGAGAGGAGGGGAGTGGAGCGGAGGGCAACGAAAAAGGTTTCATTGAGAAGATGATCGTACAACGATATGGGGTTGGTTGGGGTGAAACCCCAACTGAACCTAGGGCATGTTCAGTATAGGAAAAAAACGTTTAAAACAAACCTATACTGATTCTGAAATGAAACCAAGGCCAATTCTGGCCGAAAAAAATATTGCAAGACCAGAATAAAGTACAGAGCGAGAACTAGCCTACTCCAGCATGGTGGTGGAAACGGGTGAGGGAAGAAAATAGAGATTGAATTGATGATGCCATGTGGTTACCTCAAGGCATGTTGCTCACCTGAGCGCCTCTGGCAGCATGTTGCTCACCTGAGCGCCTCTGGCAGCATGTTGCTCACCTGAGCGCCTCTGGCAGCATGTTGCTCACCTGAGCGCCTCTGGCAGCATGTTGCTCACCTGAGCGCCTCTGGCAGCATGTTGCTCACCTGAGCGCCTCTGGCAGCATGTTGCTCACCTGAGCGCCTCTGGCAGCATGTTGCTCACCTGAGCGCCTCTGGCAGCATGTTGCTCACCTGAGCGCCTCTGGCAGCATGTTGCTCACCTGAGCGCCTCTGGCAGCATGTTGCTCACCTGAGCGCCTCTGGCAGCATGTTGCTCACCTGAGCGCCTCTGGCAGCATGTTGCTCACCTGAGCGCCTCTGGCAGCATGTTGCTCACCTGAGCGCCTCTGGCAGCATGTTGCTCACCTGAGCGCCTCTGGCAGCATGTTGCTCACCTGAGCGCCTCTGGTAGCATGTTGCTGCGCTGGTTGGCCAGGTACACGGATGTGCCCCTCGCCCTCGCCTCTGCATCCAATAGACTACCCGGGCGCACGAAGAACGCGACGTCTGCTATGTGCACTCCCACCTGGGGGTTTGGATGTGCAGGGGAGACAGGGAAACGAGCACGTGCATCAACTCAGCGCCTGCTCTGTTGTTGATGCCGCATGTTCAAGTTCAACTGCAGTGCAGCGGTGCCTTTGCTTTGCACTGTGGTGCTGCGGGATGTATTCTGAGGCGCCTCCAAGTTCAACTCAATGCACGTGGTGCTGTGGGATGTGGAAGCAGGAAGGAAGGATCCAACGAAACGAAACATCTCCGGCAGGGAGTCCCACCAGTAGAATCTGGGAAACACCTGAAACTGACCTACCTGAAGAAACACCTGGAATAGACTCACCTGAATGAGGCCGTTGGGAAGGTGAGCAGTGGAGAGCACATCATCCACATCCCTGCTACCAGGGGGGTCGATGCTAAGGAGGACGGAAGTGGGAAGGGGGGAGGTGGAGAGAGAGGAGGAGGGCATCAATGCAGAGAAAGGTAATCACACAAGTTGGGGAAAATTGGAGAAGGGGAGGGAAGGGAGGGAAGAGAGCACAAAACAACACGAAAAGCACTCCACTCCCCGCCCCCTCGCCCCCTCACCTCCCTCACCTTCTCACCTGCACATAAAGTGCGCTCCATCCCGCAAGTCCCTGCGCCTGGCTATCTCCTCCTCAGGCACCTGCCACTCCCCCTCCCCGCCCTCTGCTGCCGCCCCTGCCGCTGGTTGAGGGATCTCCTGCAGAGCGCTGGTAGTAGGGGGGTGGCGGTTGAGTGAGGGTGGCGGGTGAGTGAGGGTGGCGAGTGAGTGAGGGTGGCCAGAATACAGTGACATGATAGGTGGAGAGGTATGAGGGTGGGTGGAGGCACACTGGTGGTGCTACGTGGCGCTGGTGGGGGGATCTCTGGTAGTATGTATCCACAGAGCTCATACTGGGCTATCTGCAGGGCTCTGGCAAGCAGGGTGTGCGGAGCGAGTGGTGGGCAAGAGGAGAGATTAGAAAGAATGTGAATGGAAAAGCGAGGCGAGAGAGGCGAGGTGGGAGAGGAGTGCCTCACACACAAGACACAGAGACACATGCACTCATCCAACCATCCCTCCACCCACACAAGCACCCACCCACCCATGCCCATCCACCCACCCATCCACCACCCACACATCAAGTCCCCTCAATCCAACCATCCGTCGCCAAAAGTAACAGTTGTAATATTCAAACGATAGCCAACAAGCAGTTCAGAGCGTACGCGCATTTCAACTGTTATGCCTTCATTGGCGTTTCGAATCCTACTAAACCTGCACATTACCTACCTAGCTAGCCACTGCAGATTTGGAACACCGATGAAGGCCTAACAGCCGAAACACGCGTATGCTTTAAACTGCGTGTAAGCTACCATTTTAAAATGACTACGGTTACTTATACATGCTCTCAACTAGCCTAGATCAATCATCAGTTTCCCTTTTGGATTACTTACTAGTCGGTGATCAGTGGAGATCAGAGCTTGCAGCTATCTACCACCCGTAGCTTGTAACCCGCCCACCCACCCACCCACCCACCCGTAGCTTACAACGGTTACCTATACATGCTCTTAACAAGCCTAGATCAATCATTAGTTTCCCTTTTGAATTACTTACTAGTCGGTGATCAGAGCTTGCAGCTATCTACCCACCCTTATCTTGTAACCCGCCCACCCACCCACGCTCAAGTCCCCTCAATCACCCACCCGTCACCGAAGGGCGGGAAGGCAAGCCCCATGTCGTCCAGCAGCACTGCCTGCTCCACGTGGAGGGCTCCCATTGGCCCAAGCGTCCTCACCAGGTACACGTCTGGGTGGCGTGAGTAGCGGTCCCACGCTGGGGGGAGAGGAGCGGGGGAGGAGTAAGGGGGAAGCAAGGGAGTAGAAGGGATGGGAAGGGAAAGGAGAGGGTTTATCAAGACCATGGTCACCATGCGAAGCACGGCACAAGTTCTGGGTGGCGCTCGTAGAGGAGCGGGTGTAGGGGAAGGGTGCTAGAGGAAAGGGTGGGGTGATGGCACAGGGAGCCATGCTGAAGAATGGCGGAGAATAATGGTATGCTAATGCAATGTGCTGTACCTCTCCAAAGCTCATCAAATCCCACACAACCTCACCAAATTTCACCAATTCTCACCTCCTGCCCTGCCTTGCAGTGGAGGCAGCTTCAGTAGTACGTGGAACAACTCTTCTCCCACCCTCACCTCTCACACTCACCTCATCTCCTCCCCTCCTTTCCTCACTTGCAAACCTTCCCTCGTCCTCCCCTCCCGTCCCCCCCTCCCACCCTCCCATACCATCTTCCCACCCCTGATCCCCTCCCCACCCCCCCCCCCCTCACCTGCCAGGCGCACGACAAAGCGGGTGGCACGAAGGCGGTCCGCCTGAGTGGTGCGCAGGAACATCTGGGGGGGAGGACAGTGTTGAGGAAAGGGGGGGGGGGACGGCGATGGGGGAGGAGGGGGAGGCAGAGGGGGAGGGGGAGGGGGAACGGCGGGGGGAGGGGGAGGGGGAGGCGCAATGGATGCGGAGTGGAACAGAGGAGAGGAGTTAAGCGGGTAAGCGCCTGGAGGAAGGGAGCAGGGGAGGCTGATGAGGTGGTGGAGGCAGGGCGCCAGAAAAAAAGAGAGGAGGAGGAGAGAGACGAGCGGTAAATGGGGTGAATAGCCTGAGAGGTGAGGAGGAACTAAAAGAGGAGGGAGTGTGGAAAAGGTGAGGGGGGAAGGGAAGGAAAGTAGGTAGTAGAGTCGATACGTGAACGAGTTTCGTTGCACAAGCCTCCTCCATCCACCGTCCTGTCCCACCCTCTGGTGCGCGTGACAACGCCAGCACCATTCACTGCATCAAAAGAGCTGCCTTCCATGGCCGGTACAAGCCCATCAACCTCTGTCTGTCTGCCACTACTTCGTCCACAGCCTCGTACAGAACTTATGAGGCGCCTCAAGCGGCAGTGACCTCATTCAGGTTGGCCATATCATCGTTTGCAAGATCAACTCCTCCTCCGATGCCTATCATCGTATCCAGCCTACACTTTCACCGATGCCCCTTGTCGCTCTGTTCACATCACACTGCCGTTTTTGGTTCTTGGGGCTTGCCCTCCATACTGTTGATTCAGGTTTTGAGTCGACTCAAAAGCGTTCTTGGGGCTTGCCCTCCATACTGTTGATTCAGGTTTTGAGTCGACTCAAAAGCGTTCTTGGGGCTTGCCCTCCATACTGTTGATTCAGGTGTTTCCTCTTTCTCCCACCAAAGCCTTCTAGCTCTTTGTAGCCTAAGGTGTTATTTTGAAAACACACTCATTTTTGTATCCTAAAAAAATTTACTAACCTTGGGTAGAATTAAGCACCAAAACTGGTTGTATCCTTGTTGGGGTTGGGTTGGGAATGTATTCTTCCCTTGATTCAATTATCTGACCCACAAAGTTCCTTGCGGATTAGTGGGCCGCCAGTGATCTTTGACCAAGATGTTTGGGACCCTCGATAGCTGTTCAACCGAGCATATTTATTGAGGTCAATACGGTTGGCCAAACCAACCCCCCTCTCCTTCTCACTACCATGTACACTTGATTTCCAACACAGCTCTTCCTGACGCTGTTAGGACTCTCGTATGCAGCAACACTCACCAGCGGCAGGCGAGCATCCATGGGCACACAGAGGAAGCCCATCCTTGCTCTGCCGGAAAACACATGGGCACGGGGCAGATAGGCAAGGGGCGGATAGGCAAGGGGCGGATAGGCAAGGGGCGGACAGGCAAGGGGCGGATAGGCAAGGGGCGGATAAGCAAGGGGCAGACAGGTAAGGGGCAGAACAAGCAGAAAAAGGGTCACGCAGGTCTAAGGGGTAAAAAGGATCTCAAGTACGAGTTCACATAATGATGGGAAACCAAGGGGTTGAGGGTTTGGTTGAAAACACTAGTTAGAGGAATCATTGTCCCCCAGCAGTCATTTGGGTTGGGTATTTCTGAAGGGTTCCTAAACCATTTGTCAATGTTGAGCCAATGTTATGGGAGCTTCAGCAACCTCCCTACCCAACTCCGGAGGCGAATCAGCTGAACCACTGCAATATTTCTAACCCCAACCAGGGTACAGCCTAGTCTAGTTGTACACTTTAGACAGAAGAGAGTGTTGTACCTGACTCTATGTGAGAAGTAGTAGGTTACTTAGGACAAGAAAGCAGGAATACTTATTGTGACACAGTCAAGCACTGACTTGGAGGAGGAGGCACTCACTTGGAGGAGGAGACACTCACTTGGAGGAGGAGGCACTCACTTGGAGGAGGAGGCACTCACTTGGAGGAGGAGGCACTCACTTGGAGGAGGAGGCACTCACTTGGAGGAGGAGGCACTCACTTGGAGGAGGAGGCACTCACTTGGAGGAGGAGGCACTCACTTGGAGGAGGAGGCACTCACTTGGAGGAGGAGGCACTCACCTGGAGGAGGAGGCACTCACCTGGAGGAGGAGGCACTCACTTGGAGGAGGAGGCACTCACTTGGAGGAGGAGGCACTCACTTGGAGGAGGAGGCACTCACTTGGAGGAGGAGGCACTCACTTGGAGGAGGAGGCACTCACTTGGAGGAGGAGGCACTCACTTGGAGGAGGAGGCACTCACTTGGAGGAGGAGGTGTTAGTGTTAGCCTTCAATCTCACACTTTGTACTTTGTATTTTCTATATCCTAGAGTAGTGTAGTTTGCACATTGTGTTTGGTTGGGTGTACACCTACATCCCAACCAAACCCAAATGTAATCTCCAAGCAATCTCCAACCCACCAATTGGAGATTGCCTTGGGATTACCCCCAATCCCTAGGGATTGCCCCCGATTCCCTTCCCCATCCATTCCCTCCCCTTCTTCGATGTACTTAAAGAGCTTCAAGCTCATTACTAAGATATCGCTTCTAAGCCTAAGTTCTGAGATGGTATCAGAGCCCTTCAAACCGCACACGCAGATCGTGATCCTCCTATCTCTGCAGATGTTCGTCCCGCAAACCTCGGCGTAACCGCCTTCAATCTCGTCGCCGTTGATTCGCGACATTCGTGGGCGGAAATTCTTCCGCACCACTTTCCCGTCACTCTCGACGGCATCTACTATCTCACTGGTAAGCGCATCGTCGGCGCTTTAACCTATCGCTCGTTTCCGTCGAACATCATCGCGTCATTCCTTCTCCTCGTCGGGCCGTCGCCCGTCGCCCCGCAGCTTCTCGTCGGGCCGCCGCCCGTCGCCCTGCAGCTTCACCTTCGGGCTGCCGCCCGTCGCTCCGCATCTGCACTCCTACCCCCACCCCCCCCCCTTTTCACGCAGCTGAACAGGTGCAGCAGCGCAGCCGAGCAGCAGCGTAGCCGCGAAGCCGAGCAGTCGTGTAGCCGCGAAGCCGAGCAGCAGCGCAGCCGAGAAGCTGAGGGTGGTGTGTGGGGGGGTGTGTGGGAATAGGATTAGTAGGTAGTTGACACTAAATTGGCGTTTCAGTCGAATTCTCCTTCAGAAACCCTAAACCTCAAAATTCTCTTTCGTAAACCTTAAACCTCCGGTTCTTCAAAATCTCCTTCGGAAACCCCAAACCTCAAGTTCCTATAGTTGACTCAAGAGCGGCGCTCCGCGCGACACCCTAAGGGTTCTCCATCATGGCATTCGCCTCGACCACCATGGCCAACCCCATCACCCCTCTCCGTCTTGACGCCGATGGCTCTAGCTCCAACTTCAAGGCATGGAGCTATGGGGTTGACAAGCATTTGCTGAGCCGTGACATGCAAGGATTGGACCTCAAGGATGTCCTCCTCAACCGTGGCAAGGGAAAACAGCCCCTTCTCCCTCGCGAGACGACCGAATCCGCTAGTGAGGCTGACACAAAGGCATATGAGGAAGCCGTTGAGAAGTACTGGAAGTGGGAGAAGGCCGATGCTGCAATTATCTGCGTCTTCATCGCCTCCACCCCTCCAGAACTTGTCAACACGTTCCATAACTACCCTACCTCCAACGCCATCTGGAAGTATCTCCAGGATCGGTTCATGAACAAGACTGCAGTCGGAGTTGCCATCCTCATCCCCAGCATATTCCAGGTCCGCCTTGAGGACTGCTCGGAAATGGCCGACTACATTGCCAAGGTTCAGACCATTCATGGGGAACTCAAGGAGCTGGGTATAGTCTTCCCCGAACAGGCCCCTGCAGCAGCTCTTCTCGTTGGTCTCACCACAACCTATGAAATCACAAGGAAGATGCTCCTCACGCTGACTGCGGAAGACCTCACTTTTGCCAAGGTCTCCACCACACTCCTCTCTGCCGAGAAAGACTCCACGGCTCAGGCCAAGGCTTACGCCATCCGTGCTCCCATGCCTCAAGCCAGTGTCGCATCGGCCCTTGCCTCGGCGCCCCTCCAGCGCAACCGCTTCCCACCGTGCACCTACGTCGTCAAGTATGGCAACCGCAAGGGACAAGTGTGTGGTGGCACTAACCACCCCCTTGCTACGTGCTTCAAGAAGGACGACGAATGGTACGCCATCCATGGCATAGACAAGAGGCCACCGAACTGGATGCGTGCGCGTAAGGCCAACCTGGTTGAGGTCCAGGACCTCGCTTCGGCTAGTGCTAGTGATAGTGCTCCTGCTGATGCCCGTATCAACCTGTTGTTCCCTGGCACTGCCATGATTAATGAAGCTTCCTCCCAGTACCTAGGCTCATCACAAGCACCACAATACGTAGAGTTCACACTCGACAGCGGCGCCACACACACTGTACTCAAGGAGACACTCTCCTTCAAACCCTACGCAACACCCATCCCTCTCCTAAGAGCTGACTCAAGCTTCTCCACTCATGCCAAGGGTTCATCCACAGTCCCGTGCCCCGCCTTCCCTTCCGGCACTGTCACTGGAATGTGCGTGCCTTCACTCCGCCACAATCTCGTGGCCCAAACAGATTCAGATAGCTGGGCTACGCACCATCTTCTGGGAGAACGAGAACTATGGTGATATCCTCAACCCACTCACCAACAAGGTCTTGACTCGTTTCACCCTCAACAGCAGGGGCCTTTACACGCTGCAAGTACCCATCCCACAGGTGTCAAGCACCCAAACAGCGGCGACTACCTCACCATGCTCGTGCCGCAGTTTCTCCAACCCGACCATACTCTACCACCATCGGCTCGGACACCCAAACTTCCGCACACTTGCTGACATGGCCTCCAAGAAACTTCTGCTCGGCCTGCCAGCCTCACTTCCTCCACCACCAGACTCCCCCGCTCCCACGTGCCTTGACTGCACCAAGAGCAAACTGCGTCAACAGCCCCACCCGGCCTCACCCTCTGTCGCAGCAGGACCACTGGACCTGGTACACCTGGACGTCTGGTGCCCTGCCTCTGTTCCCGCACGAGGTGGTTATCGCTACTTCCTTGTTATCGTCGATGACCACTCTCGCTACGTCTCTGTTCATCTCCTCCACACTAAGGCTGCGGTTCCAAAGGTCCTCATGGCGTGGGTTAAACAGGCACAGACTGCCTTTGACCGCAAAGTCAAGCGCCTCCACTCAGATGGTGGTGGTGAGTTTTGCAACGACAAGCTCAAAGCCTTCTGCTCTTCAGAAGGCATCCAGCAAAACTTCACCCTCCCTGACAGCCCGCAGCAGAATGGCATAGCTGAGAGCCGCAACCACACCCTGGTGCAGATCACTCGGTGCCTCCTCAGCCACTCCAACGCTCCACACTCTCTCTGGGGGTACGCTCTCTACCACGTCGCCCTCCTCTACAACCTTTACCCCCACCCGCATCTTCCCGACACCACTCCAACCACACTCTGGCTCGGGAAAACACCCACTGCTCGCTCTCTTCAAGTTTGGGGGTGCACCGCCTATGTCCTCCTCAGCCCTCAGGCTCGACGGCAGCACGGCGGCAAGCTCGGTCCCAAGACCCAGACATGTATCTACCTCGGACACAACGCCGACTCGCCTGACTACCTCTTCCTCAATCCCTCCACTCAACAGTTGGTCCGGAGCCGCGACGTTGTCTTTGATGAGAGCCGCCCATTCTACTCCACTTCGGGACGGGACCCTCTCCCTGACCCACCCTCCCTCGTGTGGGCAGACTTTTATGCGCCTCCTGACCTCTCGCCTGCTCCGGCCCCTTCACCTCCTACCCCTCCTGCCACCGCACTGTCCCCGTCTGCGGTCTCTGACCCGCCCTCACCGGTGTCTTCGGCAGCTGCTCCTCCATCCCCCTCACTTCCCACTCCGCCGACTGTGCAGCCACCTCCGAGGGCACCTATCACCTACCATCGGCGGTCCCACCCTCCGGCCCCACCTCCTCCCTCGGTTCACCCCACCACGGAGGAACCCGCTCTCCCACAGTCGCCCGAGCTGATCACGTACCACCGGCGGCCCATTCCCCCGCCCAAGCCTCCTAAGTCAACCCCTCCGACACCGCCTGCCCCACCCTCTTCTCCGGTGGCTCATGGCACTCGTTCGCATGGCGCTGCTCTTCCACTAGCGCTGGTTCTTCGATACACGGCGATCACACCGCCTCCTCCTGCTGGGGGGGATGTGCCCTCTACCCTTCTGGAAGACAAGCATGAGGAGCTGTGTGATCTTCATGCAGTCATTCCTCAGCTCTCGCACATCTTCCTCGACATCACTGACTCACCCTCCCTCAACTTCGCGGAGAACCCGACCATCCCTATCCCTCTCACCGTCCAAGAGGCTCTCTCAGGCCCTCATGCTGCCGAATGGCGTGCTGCCATGGAAGCAGAGATTGCAGCATTCACCCGCAACCACTCCTTCGACGACGAGACTCCACCTCCAGGAGTCAACATCGTCGGGGGCAAGTGGTTGTTCCATGTAAAACAGCTCCCAGACGAGGCCCCGGTGTTCAAAGCGCGTTACGTAGCCAAGGGCTTCACCCAGCAGCAGTACCGACATCACTGACTCACCCTCCCTCAACTTCACGGAGAACCCGACCATCCCTATCCCTCTCACCGTCCAAGAGGCTCTCTCAGGCCCTCATGCTGCCGAATGGCGTGCTGCCATGGAAGCGGAGATTGCAGCATTCACCCGCAACCACTCCTTCGACGACGAGACTCCACCTTCAGGAGTCAACATCGTCGGGGGCAAGTGGTTGTTCCGTGTAAAACAGCTCCCAGACGAGGCCCCGGTGTTCAAAGCGCGTTACGTAGCCAAGGGCTTCACCCAGCAGCAGTACCGCGACTTCTTCCTAACCTTCTCCCCCACATCCAAACCTCCCACCATTCGTATGCTCATGGATGTCGCAGCTCGAGAAGACTTTGAGATCAAATCCATGGATGCCTCATCCGTCTTTCTACAAGGACGTCTCAAGGAGACAGTGTTCATGGACAGACCAGAAGGCTTCCTAGGAGAATTCCCTCCCAGCACTGTCTGGAAGCTGAATCGCCCCGTCTACGGCCTTAAGCAAGCCCCTCGCGAATGGCACAACAAGGTGAAAGAAGCCCTCCTCTCCCTCGACTTCCACCCTTCAACTGCTGACCCGACTCTCTTCATCCGCCGTCGTTCTGAGCCATTCTACATCCTAGTCTACGTGGATGATTTCATCCTCGTTGCCAAGGACTCGGCCCAGATGACCTCTGTCCAGGCAGCCCTAAGCAAGGCTCTCCAGATGAAAGACCTCGGTGACCTCAAGCACTACCTGGGGATGGAGATCACTCGTGATCGCCAGGCTCGCACCATTTCACTCTCCCAGGAGTTCTACATCGACAATGTGCTCAAGCGGTTTGAGATGGAGCTGTGCACACCTGTTGCCACCCCGCTGCCGCTGCAACACCTCCTCACAGCTCCAGATGTACCCACACCAGAGGCCTGCTCTGAGCCATACCCAGAGCATGTTGGGTCCCTCATGTACGCCATGATGTGCACCCGACCGGACTTGGCCTATCCTGTCAGTGTCCTCTCTCACTACGTGGCCCCTGGACGCTTCACTGATCTTCACTGGAAGGCGGCGAAGCGGGTGCTGCGCTATCTTCAGGGCACCAAGTCTCACGTTCTCACACTCGGTGGGCTCTCCCCTCCTCGCCTGGAAGGTTACACCGACTCCTCCTGGGCTGATGACCAGACCGACCGACGCTCCTCTCAGGGGTACTGCTTCACCCTTGGGAGCGGAATTGTCAGTTGGCGCTCCACCAGGTCGTCTGCAGTCTCCCTCTCCTCTTGTGAGGCAGAGCTGTACGCATGCACCATGGCTGCTCAGGAGGCCCGTTGGCTCACCTTCCTACTCCACGAGCTTGGTTTCCCACAGTCCGCCCCCACCCTCTGGTGTGACAACTAGAGTACCATCCACATCTCTCAAGACCCTGTGTATCACACCCGCACCAAGCATATTGAACTTCGACACTTCTTCATCCGTGACCTTGTTCAACAGGAGCAGCTGAAAGTGGAATACGTTGCATCTGACTGCAACCTGGCTGATCTGTTCACCAAGCCCCTTGGGAAAGTTCCCCACCACCGTCTCCTAGGCGCCATGGGGCTCTGTGCACCACCCTCTCTACCCTGAGTTCGATTGACGCCTATGGGGGGGTGTTAGTGTTAGCCTTCAATCTCACACTTTGTACTTTGTATTTTCTATATCCTAAAGTAGTGTAGTTTGCACATTGTGTTTGGTTGGGTGTACACCTACATCCCAACCAAACCCAAATGTAATCTCCAAGCAATCTCCAACCCACCAATTGGAGATTGCCTTGGGATTACCCCCAATCCCTAGGGATTGCCCCCGATTCCCTTCCCCATCCATTCCCTCCCCTTCTTGGATGTACTTAAAGAGCTTCAAGCTCATTACTAAGATATCGCTTCTAAGCCTAAGTTCTGAGAGGAGGCACTCACTTGGAGGAGGCACTCACTCTGAGGAGGAGGCACTCACTTGGAGGAGGAGGCACTCACTTGGAGGAGGAGGCACTCACTTGGAGGAGGAGGCACTCACTTGGAGGAGGAGGCACTCACTTGGAGGAGGAGGCACTCACTTGGAGGAGGAGGCACTCACTTGGAGGAGGAGGCACTCACTTGGAGCAGGAGGCACTCACTTGGAGGAGGAGGCACTCACTTGGAGGAGGAGGCACTCACTTGGAGGAGGAGGCACTCACTTGGAGGAGGAGGCACTCACTTGGAGGAGGAGGCACTCACTTGGAGGAGGAGGCACGGGAGAGCTTGCTGCGAGAGCTGGCTCTTGTGCTGCTCGCCGCCATGCTGCTGTGCATCCGCATGCTGCTCTCCCTGCTCCCCACGCCCATGCTCTCGCTCCTCATGCTGCTGCCACCCCGCACACTGCTGTACGGCGTGGTGTCCGGCTCGCTGCATGCGGTTGTGCTGGAGCTTCTCACAGCATGCACTGCTGCTCCTTCTGCCGGCTCATGTGCAGCTGACAGCACACTATGCCTGTGCTGCTCCTCTGCCTCCTCTTCCCCTCCCTCCTCTCCTTCCTCTTCCTCCTGTTCATCCTCTCCCTCCTCTTCGTCACTCTCTTCCTCTTCACTCTCCTCTTCCTCCTCCTCTTCCTCCTCCTCTTCCTCCTCTTCTTCCTCCTCTTCCTCCTCCCCCCACAGCCACGCCCCACCTCTCGCCCCCACAGCACCCCCCTCCACCTCATCCACGTGGTCTTTAAGGCAAACCACAAAGTCACGGCTCACTCGGTGCAGCACACTCACCACCTCCCCCACCATCTCATACCCCTCCCCCTCCCCACCCTCCTCATACTCCCCGTTTCCCCAGTCCTCCCCATGCCCACCCCCACGCCCACTGTGCTGATTCCAGTGCGAGGCTGCAGGTCGTTTCCGGTGCCACCTCTCCTGCCCCACCTTGCTCCCACTCTGCTCCTCCCCTCCATCCCCCTGCCCCTGCGCATTCCCATCCCAACCCGCCTGCCACCCACTGTAATCCGGCCCATACCCATCTCCACCCCCCTGCCCCTGCCCATACCCATCTCCATACCCATCCCCGCCCCCCTGCCCCTGTCCGTACACATCTCCATCCCCACCCCCCTGCCCCTGCCCATCGCCAAGCCCTCCCCAGCCTCCATGCCCCTGCTCCTTCGCCTGCCACCCCGCCTGTCCCCTGCGATCGTCCCCTCCTCCATCCCTCCCCCCTCCCCCGTTCCACCCTCCACCCCCCCACCCAGGGGTAGGGGAAGCAGCGGAAGCCTCCCCCCAGCCAGTAGGGGGAGGGGGAGGGGCGGCAGGGGACTCCCCCCAGCCAGTAGGGGGTGGGGGAGGGGGGGCTTCTTCCCAGCCTGTGGGTGGAGGTGGAGTAGGCGAAGCTTCCCCCCAGCCAGTAGGGGGAGGCGGGGGCGGGGCTTCCCCCCACCCTGAAGAGGCTGGGGGAGGGGGTGCCTCATCCCAGGCTGAAGGGGTCGGGGGGAGGTGAGCGTCAGATGTGGCAGTAGCAACTGCGCCGCCACCACCACCACCACCACCACCACCACCACCACCACCACCACCACCACCACCACCACCACCACCACCACCACCACCACCACCACCACCACCACCACCACCACCACCACCACCACCACCACCACCACCACCACCACCACCACCACCACCAACCCAACCACCGCCGGCACCCTCATCCCCATCCTCCCCACCGGCACTGCCACCCTCAACAACCGCACCTCCATCTCCCGTTCTCTCACTCCGCCCACCCTCATACCTCCTCACGCCCACCACACCCTCCTCTCCCCCCCTCATCCCCTCCCCCTCTTTCTCACTCTCTCCCCAACCCCTTCTCCCATCCCTCGTCTCCACGCCGCCTCCCCCCATCTGCCCGGCCCCCATGTGCCCTTTCCCCATTTTCCCGCCCCCCATGTGCCCTCCCCCCATGTGCCCACCCCCCACCTGTCTGTCCCCCACCCTGCGCTTGCCCAGCAGCCTGACTGCCACGGTGTCGCCTGGCAGAGCGCGGTTGAGCTGCCGCCATGAGAGGATGGTGATGTCGCTGTGTGGCGAATGTAACTGCTTGCGACTGGAAGGCAGAGAAGGACGGGGCATGGGGCAGTGGTAGGGGGCGGGGGGCAGGGGATAGGGGGTATGAGGTAGAATGGCAGAGCGCGGTTGAGCTGCCGCCATGAGAGGATGGTGATGTCATTCTGCGGGGCGTGCACCTGCTTGCGACTGGAAGGGAAGGATGGGGCATGGGGCAAGGAGCAAGGGGCAGGGGGAACGGGGTAGGCGGGGAGTGGGAAAAAAGGGCAAGGCTGACAGGCAGAGCACGGTTGAGCTGGCGCCATGAGATGATGGTTATGTCATTCTGAGGGGCGTGCACCTGCTTGCGACTGGAAGAAAAGGACGGGAGGGGGGGGGGCAAGGGGAAGGGGATAAGCCGGGAGGGAGTGGGCAAATGGATAAGGAGTAGTAAGGCTGACATGCAGAGCGTGGTTGCGGTGGCGCCATGTGGGGATGGTGATGTCACTCTGGGGGGCGCGCACTTGCTTCCGACTGTATTAGAGGAGTGGTGGGGTGGGGGTGCGTGGGGCAGAGGGCATGGGGAAGGGGGCAGACTGTGAGCGGCTGAGAAGATGAGCCTTCAGGAAGAAGCGCGGTTGAGGTGGTTGACGTTCAAATATAAATTAGAATGTGGGGATGGTGATGTTGATGTGGGGATGGTGATGTTGATGTGGGGGCGTGCACCTGCTTACGACTGGATGGGAAGGATGGGACGCGTGGAAGGGAAAACGGATAAGGGGAACGCATGGGGACGAAAATGGCTATGGCGCAAGAAGGCAGCAAAGAGATAAAGAACTGCAAAGTCAGGAGGAATTGGAAGTCAATGCCAGTCAACGGCAGTCAAGAGCACTCCGCCCTCACCTGTGCATCACGGTGGCTTTGAAAGGTTCAGTGGTTGTGTCGTGCAGCATTTTTACACAAATAGCCCCTCACTGCCACCCCCTCTACCACACGAATAAAATAAGTCAACGCCAGTCAAGAGCACTCTTCCCTCACTTGGGTCTGACGGTGGCTTTGAAAGGCTCGGTGGTTGTGATGTGCAGCACTCCCACTCGGATAGCTCCAACTGCCACTCCCTCCGCCACTGCTGAGCCTGTCGAATGGGAAATGGGATATAGGAACAGTGGTGATTGCAGTAGGCAGCACTCCCACTCGGATAGCTCCGACTGCGATGCCCTCTGCTACTGCTGTGCCTAGACATTGGAGAACTGGCACCGTGCAGAAACCAATCAGAGATCATGATAAATAGGAAATGGGTTATGGCAACGACAGGGAGACGGTGTGAATGAGCACATACAGCATTGCATTTCCATTCCAAAGCTTTTGTCAATGAAAGTGGCCATGGGGAAGGAACCTTTCGGTGTCACTTTTCAAAGCACCAGAACTCCTCGCCGCACCCCTGCTATTTTTGTGGCGCCTAAAGAATTGTTGCACCCCTGCTCTGCAACTGTCACAGACCTAGTCACCTTGCACACCGTGTCAATTCCTCCTACTCCATGTCAAGTGGTTCTCCACTCACTTGACAGGTGCGGTGTGAACACCTCCTTGCGCTGCTTCCCACTGCCGAGCCTGCCGCTTCCGAACCTGCTGCCACTGAGCCTGCCGCTGCCAGACGTGGATTTGAAGGATGACGAGAGGCGCAAGGCATGCTGGGTGGCCTGGTGGGGGGGAAGGAAGACAGGAGCAAAGGCATGTTGGTGGAGGGGGTCCTGGTCAACAGTTGGTTGATGCTCACGCTAAGAACATAAAGGAATGGGGATGGGGATAAGAATGGGTTGGGTTGGGGATGCGGATGGGGACTGGTCAAACAGGAGCACTGCGGTAACTGAAAAGAAGTGGAAGACCTACTCTGACTTGAATCACAAGTCTGAAGCTATGGTAGAGGAAAAACAATGCGAATCAAAATCAGAAACAGCGAACGCAAGACGGAATCCCGAGTAACCGTACGTGCGCGGTTATCAGGTTGAGGTTTGAGTGTGCTCACAAGAGAGTCCATGAGAGTGGTGAAAGTGGTGGTTACCATAATGGTATGGTAGAGCGTTGGGTGTGCTTACTAAAGAGTCCATGAGTGGCAACAGTGGTGCAGCAGTGACTTTATGCTCCAAGTAACACGTGTGGTTACCAGGTACAATAGAAGGTTGAGCAGGGTGCTCACGAGAGAGTCCATGAGCGTGGTGACAGTGGTGCAGTGGCCGTAGTAGGTCTGGAAGAATGCCTCGTTTGTCATCACCTGTGGCACAGGGAGATGGGAGATGGGAGATGGGAGATGGGCGATGGGGGACAGAGGGGGCAACTACGAAAAAGACAAAAGGCGAGACAAGGAACTGCATTGAAAGTTGGGAGCAGGAAAAGGAGGAAGGAGAGAGAAGGCTGACGTTGCAGAAATCGAAGTAAGGAGGTCATATGTCTTGACACCTCTCCTGTAAGTCCTGTAGAATGAGGATCGGTGAACTTGAGGCACAATGAGAGAAGAACAATATATCCTTAGTAGAAAGATGGTACAAGCCTGAAAGGCTAGAGCAATGTCCTTTCCAAGGATAAGTTCTAGAGAAGTGGGAAGCCACATTTATGTGGCTGAACTCTTGAGGCTAGCTGCAGCACCTCAAAGCTGAGGGCAGGGCTAGCCAACCTTGCCAAGCTAGCAATTGAGGCCACATGTTGCACATGTGGGCCAGGCTGGAACAACAGCCTACATGGCAGCATGTGGCACACCATAGGAGCCAACAAGGTGAGTATGGGATGGGTGGACAGATGGCAATGCCAACTGTGACCACACTTCACTGTGGGTGAGTGTGGTGGAGTGTGGGAGTGTCATGTTCGGCATAATGAGAAGAGAAGGTGCTGCCGATGAGAGTTGAACCCGCGACCACTAAGACCAAAGGTACCCACTGGGACATTCTTGCTTCCACAACACCCCCCCTCAAGGATGTCCCCGGGATAGGGTGCCTCAAGAGGAAACATGGGTGAGACCGAGAAGACCACGGATGCGAAGAAAAGGGTCACGGGGCAAAGGCTTGGTCCCAATGTCAGCGAGGTTGTCTTGAGTAGGAACATAGTGAAGGGTGATGGAGTGGTCGGCAACATGATCGCGAATGAAATGGTGCTTGATGTCGATGTGCTTGGCCTTGGGATGAAAGACGCCATCGTCCTTGGCGAGAATGATGGCACTGTTGTTGTCACACGAGATACGGGTGGGGCCGGTAGGGGGAAGTCCAACTGCAGTAAGGAGCGAACGAAGCCATAATGCCTCGTGCACCGCGGCGCCCAGAGAGTAATATTCAGCTTCACATGAAGAGGTAGCAACGACGGCTTGGCGTTTGGACTGCCAAGAGATGAGTGACGGACCGAGGAAGAACAAGTAGCACGTAACGGAGCGACGCAGCTCCCCCTCCGGTCCCCAAGAGGCGTCACACCAGCCATGAAGTTCGAGGGTGTCGGGAATGCCACCAAGGAGAAGCCCAAGGGAGGTAGTCCCTTTCAAGTAGCGAGCAATGCGTTTGGCAGCCGAGACATGAGGAGTAGACCAATCGTGAAGGTGACGAGCAAGAACTCCAGCGCTATATGCGAGGTCGGGACGGGTCCCCACCATGGCATACATGATGGAGCCGACAAACGAGGTGTAAGGGAAGGAGGAGGAGTGCGGGGAGGAAGTCACGGGTGGCTGAAACTTTGTGTCCATGGGAGTGGCAGCGGGGTTCAGTGGAGAGAAGGAGTAGGTGTCTAGAATGGAGGTGATGAATTTGGATTGATGAAGGTGGAGAGTGCGGGAAGTTCGATCACGAGTGATGTGAAAGCCAAGGTAGTAGGAGAGAGGTCCGAGGTCACGAAGTTTGAAGCGAGATGAAAGGGCATGCTTGAATGAGGCAAGAAGAGAGGAGGAGGAGGAGAGAATGATGAGGTCGTCAACATAGACGAGAAGCATGAAGAAGGATGCAGCTGTAGGCCGATAAGGTGAGTGAGGAGGAGCAATGAAGAGGCCGGGGTCCGCACGAGCAGCAAAGAGGTGAAAGGCAGCAAGCTCCTCACGAAGCTTGCGGTACCAGCATCGCGGAGCTTGTTTCAACCCGTACAGCGGTTTGTGCAAGAGACAAACTTGCTCAACACCATGGACCGCCGGAAGGTCATAACCGGGAGGCTGCATCATGTAGAGAATCTCATCAAGGGTGCCGTTGAGGAAGGCGTTGGAGATGTCCAGCTGATGGACGTCCAGGTTGAAAGCGGCAGCTATGGTGAGAAACAAGCGGAGGGTGGCGAAGCGGACGGTAGGAGCAAAGGTGTCATGAAAATCAACACCATCCCGTTGCTTGAAGCCTTTGACAACAAGGCGGGCTTTGCGGCGTTCAATAGAACCCTCAGCGTTCTCCTTGACCTTGAAAATCCATTTGCATGGAATCGGCTTGCACTTGGGTGGTCGAGGAACAATGCTGTAGGTGTCATTAGCGTGCAGGGCAGCGAGTTCCGCATCAGCAGCCTTGATCCATTCGGCAGCATCAGGGCCGGTACGAGCCTCATGAATGGTTTGAGGTTCGTAATGATGGTGAAGGGCAGCATTGGCAGAGGTGTTGGAAAGAGGAGGAAGAGTGAAGTCAATGGGTTCGGAAGGGGATGGTAAGACCTTGAGGAAGGAGAAAAGGGAAGGATCGGGAAGAGCTGAAGGGGATGGCGGGGAGGAGCGAGTCGTGCAATGGGGAGGGGGAGGCGAAGAGGGAGGAGAGAAGGATGGAAGGTGAAAGTCTTGCGGCGTCGAGGGCAGAGGAAGGTTGGAAAACAATGGAGGAGGAGAAGATGTGGCTGGTGCGGGCAGGTTTGGGGATTGTGGATGGGGGTTGGTGGAGGAAGGTATGGTGGGGGAAGGAGAGGGAGGGGAGATTGGGTCCAAGGAAGAAGGGTGTGTAGGAGGAGGTAGTGAGGAGGATGTGGGTGGAGATGACGATGGAGGGTCGCGAGAGTCGTCGGAAGGCGGTGCAGAGGGCTCCATGAAGATGACATCACGAGAAAGGATGACACGGTGCTGAGATGGGATATAGATGCAGTAAGCTTTGGTGCCGTCGAGATGACCATATCCAACCATGATGCCGGCCGTGCTTCGGTCGTCGAGCTTAGAACGCCGTTGGGAAGGAATGAGGACCGAGACGGGTGAACCGAAGATGCGGAGGTGTGATACATCCGGACGTGCACCGGTCCATAGTTCCATGGGAGTCTTAGAAGTTGAACCACCCCGACTAATGGCATGATTACGAAGATAGGCAGCAGTAAGAGCGGCTTCACCCCACCAGCCTTTGTCCATGTGTGCATCATGGAGCATGGAACGGACCATCTCAAGTAAAGTCCGGTTGGCCCGCTCAGCTACTCCATTTTGCTCAGGTGTGTATGGCGTGGAGAGGTGGCGGGCGATGCCATGAGCTGTGAGGAATGAAGTGAAGGCTTTGGAAGTGAACTCCAAGGCACCGTCAGAGCGAAAGGTTTTGATGGTGTGTGGGGAATGCATGTTGTGCACCCGAGTAACGTAAGCCTTGAAGCATGAAAGTGCCTCCGACCGGTGGCGTAGGAGATACACTGTAATGTGGCGGGAGTAGTCGTCGATGAAGGTGAGAAGGTAGCGAGCGCCGCCAATGGTAGTTCCATATGAAAGCGGTCCAGCAATATCTGAGTGAATGAGTTGGAGTGGGGCTGTGGTGCGAGAATGGGACACGCCAAATGGCTGACGTGTTTGTTTCCCACGATAGCACGAGATGCAGGGGGGAATCGAGGTGGAGGAGAGGTGAAGACCGGTGACCAGCTGCTGCCGATGAAGTGTTGACAAGGCCTGCATGTTGAGATGCCCAAAACGACGATGCCAGAGGTACGAGGAGGTGGTGGTGGAGGCTGGACATGCAGTTGGCTTGATAGAAGGAGCAACACTGCTCCCATGATGCAGTTGAAGATAAAACAGATTGTTGCGGGTGTAGCCCTCGCCAATAGGAACGTCATCAGATGTGAGAACAACGCGCCCAGCAGCGGGGAACGAGACGGCAACGCCGGCAGCACCAAGCGCACGAACAGAGAGCAGGTTGTGAACTGATGAAGGGAGAAATAGAACGTTGTCAAGCTGAATGGTGGTTTCCGATGTTGGTGACCGAAGAGTAGCCACCACCGTGCCGACTCCCAAGACCTTGTAAGTCTCTCCTCCACCAAAACGAACAAGGATCTCTTCGTTGGGCTTCTTGAGAGACGAAAACAGCGAACAATCCGAGCAGATATGGGAGGATGCGCCGCTGTCCACCAGCCACGACAAAGTCCGCTCCATATTGAATGAGGAGGCCGTGAATGCCGATGCGTAGGGAGCCCCATAAGGGAAGAGGAGGAGGAGAAGGAGGATGGTGAGAATGAAGACAGCAGCGACGAGAGGAGTCCATGTGGAGAAGATGGGGTGGTGGCTGGTGCTGACAGCAATGTCCACGTACCGGGAATCAGGTACGGACTGAGGGGTTGATGGGGCAGGAGGTGGTGTGGGGGTCGGAGTTGCTTCAGCAGAGGAGCTGGTGGAGACATGCACCGAGGGTTGGAAGACGGATTTCTCCCGTTTAGAGCTTTCTTCAAGCTCTTTCTTCTTCTTCAATTTGAAGCATTCATCGATGGTGTGACCCGTTTTCTTGCAGTAACGGCAGGTGGGCGACTGGCGTGAACCGGAGCGAAGAGGGTGGGAGGGCTGGGAATTGAGGTTGTATGCACCCTCCATGTTACGGCTTGTACCAGATTGTGACCGCTCCCAATCGGCATCGAGTAGGCGTGACTGTAGGTATTCAACCGTCATAGACTTTATGTCTTTCACGGTGCAAATGGTTTCAGTAAGGGTCTTGAACGAGTCCGGAAGGTTGAGGATGATGGAGATTACCACCACCCATGATGGTAGCTCAAAGCCGGCAGATTTGAGTTGGTGTGTAAGGTTTCCAACTCGATCAAAGTAGGAGCGAAGACTTGTTGTTGGGTCCATCCGTGTAGTGATGAGATCCCGGAGGAGAGCCACTTGTGCATGGTTGCCCATGCAGTCGAACCGCGCCATGATGCATCCCCACATATCCTTTGTCGTGTTGGCTTGAGCAAGAGTGAGCGATAGTTGAGGATGGACGGCTGACATGAGAAGATAGTATGCATGCTCCTCTTTTTCTTCATCCGGCAGCGAAGCAATCGAATGGGCTGTCTTAGGGGCTGCACCGCTGTTGCCTTCGGTAGTCTCTCCACCGCTGGTTGTGGAAGAGGAGATTGAAGGACGCGAAGCAACCTTGGGATCTCCAAGGAGGGAGATCAGCCCGAGGACATTGAAGATGTAGCAGATCTTTTTCTTCCATGGAATGAAGTTGGAACCATCTGGTTCCAAGATGGGAAGGGTGTGCCGACCGAGAGGCGTTTCAACTTGAGCCATGAAGTGTGCAACGTTCACTAAGCTAGAAGCCTTGCTCTGATAGCATGTAGAATGAGGATCGGTGAACTTGAGGCACAATGAGAGAAGAACAATATATCCTTAGTAGGAAGATGGTACAAGCCTGAAAGGCTAGAGCAATGTCCTTTCCAAGGATAAGTTCTAGAGAAGTGGGAAGCCACATTTATGTGGCTGAACTCTTGAGGCTAGCTGTAGCACCTCAAAGCTGAGGGCAGTGCTAGCCAACCTTGCCAAGCTAGCAATTGAGGCCACATGTTGCACATGTGGGCCAGGCTGGAACAACAGCCTACATGGCAGCATGTGGCACACCATAGGAGCCAACAAGGTGCGTATGGGATGGGTGGACAGATGGCAATGCCAACTGTGACCACACTTCACTGTGGGTGAGTGTGGTGGAGTGTGGGAGTGTCATGTTCGGCATAATGAGAAGAGAAGGTGCTGCCGATGAGAGTTGAACCCGCGACCACTAAGACCAAAGGTACCCACTGGGACATTCTTGCTTCCACAACAAGTCCAAAGAAGTCTCGAAATTGATGCACGCAACAGAGATAACATCACAGCATGCACGTACCACCCAAGAACCCGCACGTACCACCCAAGAACCCGCACGTACCACCCAAGAACCCGCACGTACCACCCAAGAACCCGCACGTACCACCCAAGAACCCGCACGTACCACCCAAGAACCTGCACGTACCACCCAAGAACCCGCACGTACCACCCAAGAACCCGCACGTACCACCCAAGAACCCGCACGTACCACCCAAGAACCCGCACGTACCACCCAAGAACCCGCACGTACCACCCAAGAACCCGCACGTACCACCCAAGAACCCGCACGTACCACCCAAGAACCCGCACGTACCACCCAAGAACCCGCACGTACCACCCAAGAACCCGCACGTACCACCCAAGAACCCGCACGTACCACCCAAGAACCCGCACGTACCACCCAAGAACCCGCACGTACCACCCAAGAACCCGCATGTACCACCCAAGAACCCGCACGTACCACCCAAGAACCCGCACGTACCACCCAAGAACCCGCACGTACCACCCAAGAACCCGCACGTACCACCCAAAAACCCGCACGTACCACCACTTCGTTACGCTGCACGGCCTGCAGCACCTCGCCCAATGGCATGCTGCCACGTGCTGCTGCCAGCTCGTCCGACACGATGAGGATGGGTATGGTGCGGTGCAGATGGGTTGAGAACCACTGTGCTGCCGCCACCACGTGACACAGATCCACTGGGTTGGTGAGATGTGAGGGGTCAAGAAGCACACTTGCTCTTGATGTGAGATGCAAAGCTGATAAACTCATGATGCATAAGTCAACCTAACGGAGGGGATGAGAAGCATAGTAGCTCGATGTGAGAAGAAGGAATGGTAAAGAGCATGCGAACGAAGCTTTGCTCAGGGGGCATGAGAGCATATTGTGGAGAGACACCACACCACACCACACCACACCACACCACACCACACCACACCACACATGCCCCCACACACACACGTACACATGCGTCCATCACACACAATTTCAGCCGACACAACCTCACCCCAAGTGTCTTTCTTCAGCCCAGCAGTGACGAACCAATGAAGGTTCCTTGTCACGAGGTGACTGTCACACACTCAACTCAAACACCCGCACACCCACCTTCAGCAGAAGCAGCATCACCAAGTGTGACTCTCAAGCTCGCCCGCCTCTCCTCCGCCATGGTGTGCGTGAAGAGGAAGTGCCGGTCGTCAAAGTAGGAGCTCTCCCTCCGCCCATCTTCACACAGAGCACTGCGATGGGGTGAAGTGATGAGAGGAAGGAGCATCGTGTAGGTGAGACCAAGGGGGTCAAGGACGAACTTATCTTGAAGTCTTGTTGAGACGGAGCAACTGAGTGGACAACGCGAGGAAAGGGCGAAAGACTAGGGGAGAGGAGTGAGAGAGATTAGTCTTTCCAAGAAACAATTAGAATGGGATTGGGAATTGAAAGCAGGCCAGGGTATACTAAGCAATGCAACCATGGGAGGTACAGAGAAGGAGCGGGGCAGTAGATAGGAGAATAGGACATCAAGGGCGGCAGCAAGGGCGGCAGCAAGGGCGGCAGCAAGGGCAGCAAGGTGTGGGTGTGGGAGGAACGGACCGGATGCGTCCCGCGTGATAGGCGCTGGAGTAGTGAAGCACCTGGGAGGGAGAAGGCGAATGGAGGGGAGGGGAGAGAGGGGCGCGCAGGGGGGGAGAGGGGCGAGGAGAGAAGGGAGAGGGGATGGGGGATGAGATATGGGAAGGAAGTGGAAAGTGGGATGATAGGAGATGTGAGGAGGAAAGGTTAGGATGGGAGAGAAGGGACAGGACAGAGAACACATTCCATATTCTTCCAGCTCATGCTACCTCCTGCCATGCCATGTACCCCCAGCTCATGCTACCTCCTGCCATGTACCCCCAGCTCATGCTACCTCCTGCCATATACCCCCAGTTTATGCTACCTCCTGCTGCCATGTCAACCCACCAACCCGCCGGCCCACTCCCTCAAACCCTTCCCACCGCTCCTTTCAGCAACCCACTCATGTCACACATCCATTTCCTTAAGGCACGAAGCTCAGAGCACACCCACCAACCCATCCATCCACCTTCCCCTCACCTCCCCCTTCACTCCACGCACTCCTCCCCCAAACTCTCCTGCCACGCACCTCCTTACGCACACAGCGCAGACCCCACCCACCTACCCACCCACCCACCCACCCACCCACCCACTTCTACAACCCCCTCCCTCCCCACTTTTGGCAACCCGCTCTTGTCACACACGCACCTCCTTGGGCACGGAGCCCAGAGCCCACCCACCCAACTTACCACTTCCCTCCACCTCCCCCTCCCCCCCTCCACAACCTCTCCTGCCACGCACCTCCTTGGGCATGGAGCCCAGAGCCCACCCACCAACCATCCATCCACCTTCTCCTCACTTTCCCCCACTCTTTCCCCTTGGGCACTCTTTTCTGGTCACACCTCCTTGAGCACGGAGCCCAGCACGATTGTGTGGCGTATTGGTGGTAGCTCCCACACCTCCATGAATTCAACCAGCGAGGCTGCATCGGGGATCTGGGGGGAGGGAGGGGATGAAGGGGGGAAGGGGAGAGGAGGGGAGAGGGCAGGAGGGGTGAAACGGGGGGCCGAAGGTGGGAGGGAGGAGAGTAGGGAGGGGGGAGAGGGCGGGAAGGGGGTAAAGAGTGGACGGTCGAAGAGGCACAAAGGCCAACATTAGTAGCATTTGTCAACATAAAGTGGAAAATGTGTGAGTGAGGCTATCTCTCTGCCGCAGGTTGTCTTCGAATGCTCTCCGCAATCTCTCTCTTGTCCCTCATCATCGCCTCTCTTCCTCCACTTCTCCCTCGACTTCACAGGTGGAAGGTGGACGAGGCACAGAGAGGGGAAGAGGGGAGATTGAGATAGGGGAGCACGGGAGAGAAGGCGCGGGAAGAGAAGAGGAGGAAGCAAGGCGATGATGAGAGGCAAACGAGAGACCGAGGGAAACATTGGAAGACGACCTGCGGCAGAGAGATAACCTCACTCACTCACTGATTCTTGTGTGAACTCGTCAACTCATTCACTCATCCACAACCTCAATCACTCCCTCCCTCATTCACTCACACATTCCCTCCCTCCCTCACTCACCACGTAGTGTCTCGCACTAGCGGACAAAGAAGGCCGGTCCGCCTCAGCGTAAAGCAGCAGGCCTTCCTCAGGGAACTGCCAGAGCAGCTCTCGGGGGAGCAGCTGGCAGGGGAGCACATCCCCAAAGAGCAGCGGGTCATGGCGGGGGAGGTGCGTGTAGCACGCGTAGCACAGCGCAGACCCGCACTTGATGTCCTCCCGAAGATAGTGCTCCTGTACAAGCTTCATCACCCCCACTCCCCCCGCTGCTGGGCCCCCTATTCCGCCTCCCGTTCCCCCCCCTCCCCCCCTTCCGCGCCCCGAGCCTCCTCCGCCAGCGCTGCCGTAGATGCCGCCTCCCCCAGAAACGCCGAGCAGGCTGACGGTCGCTGCGGCCCCCGCGCCCACGCGGATGCCCAATGAGGGCCCGCCAGCTGTCCCGCCGCGCTTCCTGCGCATGCGCACGTTGGTGTCCTCCTGGGGGGAGCCGGCGGGAGAGGGGGAGGACGGGGAAAGAGCGGCGGGGGAACGGGAAAGGGGCAGTGGAAGGGGGGGAGCGGGGAGTGAGGAGAAAGCGGATGGAGGAGCAAACAAAAATTTCGCAGACAGTCGTTGGGGAAGGGAAACTGGTGGCAATGCGACGGACGCTCGGAGACGCGCTGCTTGCGAACTTGCCGCGCTTCCCTGCTCCAGCTCTCATGCGGCTCCTCTTATTAGAACAGGATTTGCAGGACTCGCGACAGGATTCCAAGTCGCAGCTGCTATTATCACCGCCTCCATTCCGGCTAAACATTGTTCACTGGCAAAGAACTGAATTCTCGAAATCCTCCCGGTCTAGTAGTAGCCACGAGCGACTCTTTCTGGGTCAACCCAAACGAGCGCGCAATCCACCTCGTCCACCCGCTGCAACGACGGCATGGCGGAAAAAGGCCTCTACTATTCCCAGCCGGCGCTGCTAGTAGTATCACAACGCCGTACTCTGCCGGCAGGCATTTCTAATAAAATCGAGTGCGCGCAACTTACATATCTCGCGGTCCATCTGCCGAGACTCATCGTATAATTTGATATCGGTCGGCCGTCCAGTGTCAATCTAAGCCTGTGAAACAGTTAATTCCGCCATCACCGTCCTACTATAGCATGGCGAGTGGAAGAGTGCTGTTAGTAAATCTCATTCGGAAAGACACAACTAGGGCGAGACAGGTGGCGTTCATTTTCGTTTTTTTTTCCTCGTAAGTTTGGCTGATTTCGAGTCAGTTGATGTCAAATTTAGTCATGGGTGGCCCAGCGTACTCACACAAATCAGTTTGTGCACACAACCAGCCGCTTTCCGAACCAAGTAACCAGCCCACGCGCCACCCGCGCAGTTGGTTCACTCGCGAAGGAGAATGTTTCTTGGGCACTCTATTTGTTGTGTGGGCGAAATCAACGATGTTCATTAAGAAGCACAGCTTCGCTTTTGATCTGCCTCACGGATCTGCGATGTACTGATTTCGTATTTTCAAACCAATCGGGCCGTTCTAGTATCCGAACTGAGTCTCCGCTCGTTTCGCGTCCAGGGTCGATGAAGGCGAAATCAGTTCGGTTATAAACAAAAATCAGGTTACTGCTTTGTAAACTTTATGAAAATGAACGCCACCTGACCCGCCCTTAGAAGTTCCAGCGCAATGCATTTTACTACCCACTCGTAATTGTCAATTCGAGAAATCATCCGCACAATCTGTTGGAGAATCGAGTCTCTGCCGCCCCAGCCCTTTGCACACAAGGAGCAGCAAGAATGTCGGCGACGGATTGAAGGCTTCGCGAAAATTCAGAAACTTCCGCAGCAAAATCAGATTGCAGCCGAAGACTCGATACAGTTCGGGATTGCTCTCAAACAGAAGGGTCGACAGTTTCTACAGGTTTCTACAAAACAGAATCAGCTATAACAGTACATTCCAGAGATTTCTTATTCATGCACCTCATGTGGCTCTCAAGTCACTCAAGGTTCATGGAATCTGAATCGTGCCCAAGTTCCCAAGGAAGTTGCCTTGTCTAGCAGCCTAGTTTGAGCTATCAATCTGCATGTTTGTAATGCTTAAGAAGTTGTGCTTTAGTGGGCTTGTTAATCTTGATCATAGTGAAGTTTTCTCTCATCAAGCCAAGTCCAGCAGCTCTGTTGAGCTTTTCCAGCCAAGTTTCCAGCCTACCAGTCATCAAAGCTACTCTGTTTTGCAAGTTGGTATCAGAGCCCGTCGTTTCGATCAACCGAGCGCCACCACCTTCCTATCCTAGCACAATCCATCCATGGCGGGAGACAACCCATCTGGCCCTGCACTCCAGCCAGCCGGAGGAGCTTCAGAGTCAACATCAGGAGCTACTGGATTAGTGGAAGCAGTTGCACCAGGCAGTTCTTCAACTACATACTCGCCACTCACCTCCTTCATGCCTAAGCTTCACCTTCCCAAGTTCAACGGCAAAGATTTTCCAACATGGGCAACTCAGTTTGAGCTCACTGCATCCCTTCTGGATCTCTGGCCTTACTACACTGGAGAAGCAGCCAAACCAGCAGCAGATGCTTCAGAAGCTGAAAAACGACTCTACGAGCGGCGCAACAAGGAGGCCTTCCTCTACCTACTCAATAGCATTCACGAGCAGCAGTTGAAGTCGCTCCTACCCTGCTCTACAAAGGCAAACAGCGCAGAGGAAGCATGGAGCCGACTGAAGTCTATGCACCAGTCAAAATCCGAGAGCAGCCAGGCCGAGATGTGGAGCCGCTTCATGAGTCTCAAGATGGAAGAAGAAGAACCAGCCCAAACCTACCTTCAACGAGCTGAAACGATGCTAGAGGAAGCAGCCGCGATCGGCTTGGAGATTCCAGAGTCTCTTTTCAAGACCGTCATCCTCACCGGCCTTACACCAGAGTGGGACACTTTCCGTGCAACACTACAAGCACTTCCGCAATCAATGAAGACCCGTGCGTTCATCTTCGAAGCCCTTGTCAACGAGCAGCAAAGTCGAGACCTTGCACGAAACAAGCGGAGTGACGAGGGTGCGTGGAGTGCTGCAGCAGCTACAAGATATGGCAACCAATCCCAGAGGCAAGGAAATTTCAACCCAAACCGCCCTCAACCTTACTATGGTACGAATTTTCAGTCACCTTCCAGCCCATACAAACCCTCTCGTTTTGCTCAGTCAAGTCCTCCCTAAAAGTCAAGTCCCTATGTCCAGCCAAGGCCTTCTATTCCCAATCAATATCAGCCTAGGAATGCACGAGTCTATACGCCAAGAGTCAATAATTTCAGCCAAGCCTCAAATGCTAAAAAGTTTAATTCCGAGTGTTTTTGTTGTCATGAGTGGGGTTATCCGTGGTATGCTTGTCCTAAGAAGCCTCCTAATTGGGTTCCCCCACCTCAGCTACTATCCGAAAAGGGTAAGGCAGCCATAGCAAACATGGCAAGTCATTCTACAAGTCAAAATGAGTCCAAAGATTCTGAAGGTCCTGTCCTTTTCAACGCCGCCACTTGCATGCACGTTTTTTCTACTAGTAGTGAGGAGTTTATCCTTGATAGTGGCTGTTCTGAAACCATGACTCCCTATCAGTCCATTCTCAAGGATTTTCAGCCCTCATATGACTCAAAAGCTGTGACACTTGCTGATCTTGGCAAAGTACCTATCAAAGGAGTCGGCAAGCTTGAGTTCGAAAAGGATAGTAAGTCATTTTGTGTCAATAAAGCTTTGTTTGTTCCTGATTTGGGAGCAAACTTGCTCTCAGCTGGACAACTTGAAGAGAAAGGTGCCTCTGTACTATTGCAAGGGGGGAAAGCCAAAGTGTGGGACAGTGCAGGAAATTTGGTGGCTGAAGGCGAGCGTACCGGGCGGCTCTACAAGATGAAGTTGGAGATCAAGCGCAGTTCTAACAATACAAAGAACGACGTTGTCTCGCTTCCCGCTGTTTCAACCAACAAAGGGAGTATCTCCCAAGCTGAGGTATGGCATGCACGCTTGGGGCACTTGGGAATGCAAGCATTGAAAGAGTTGGTGAATCACAAGAGCGTGGAAGGATTGAGTTTGAGTGAAATTGCAGTCAAGTCCCTTTCTTCCGTTCCATGTCCATCTTGTGTTGAGGGTAAGCTAGCTAGAAAGCCATTTTTCCCTTCTAAGTCTCAGTCAAGGGACCTCCTAGAGCTGGTCCACACTGATGTATTTGGCCCCATGCGAGATCCTACTCGAAACGGTAAGAGATATTTGGTGTCTTTCATTGATGACAAGAGTCGTTTCTCGTGGTCATTTTTCATCAACACCAAGGATGAAGTTCACAAGTGTTTCAAGCAATGGCTAGCACTTGTTGAGAGAGAGTCAGGGAAGAAGTTACTCACCTTGAGGTCGGACCGAGGAGGTGAGTACATGGGAAAAGCATTTCAGGGGGAGTTGTTGGCATTGGGCATCAAACAACAGTTCACTTGTCCCTATAGTCCTCAGCAAAATGGAGTTGCAGAGAGGTTTCATCGCACTATTCAAGCAATAGCTACCACTTTTCTTCAGTTTAAGGGCCTTGACAAGCTCTGGTGGGGTGAGGCAATCACTATGGCAATCTATGTTCGCAACAGGAGACCCACAAGGCCCCTACCGGATGGTGTAACGCGATATGAGGCTTGGTTTGGAGTTAAACCAGATCTGTCTATGCTTCGTGTTTTTGGTTCCATGACCCAATACCGTGTTCCAGATGCAAAGAGAGTCAAGCTGGACAGCAGAGCTCATTGGGGCCTCTTCATCGGCATGAGCAACGAGAGCAAGGGATGGGTCCTTTGGGATCCCTTCACCAAGCGAGAAGTGGTTTCAAGGGATGTGGTCTTCTATGAAGACATGTCCCTTGCAGATTGGCACAAGTTTTCCTCTTCCTCCTCTCTACCACCCTCTCTCCAACAGGAACCAGCAAGAGCACCTGAGGAAACAACACAAGAGGAGGACGGAGATGACACCAATTCTGACCATAGCGGACCCATCATCGATCTCCCGCAAGCCGTCGTCAATGAGACCAGCTGCGCCACACCACTGCCACCAGCAGCTACTCAACCAAGTGGAGATGTGGTTCAGCCGTCAAATGAAGACAATCCACCCCAAGAAGTCACCGTTACATCACCGCCAAAGGAGCAGCAGCCAACCGTCACCAACCAGCCAGCTACTTCAACACCAACCCCGCAAGTTCAACGTCACCCGGATCAGCCCACCACTACACCATCAAACCCATCACCAGCCGTCAATTCAGAGGCAACTACAGAAGCTCACCATCATCCAATGCAGCAGCAACCTACAGCTACAAGTCTCCAAGTACGTACATCAGCACCATCTACAATTCTTCCTACCAACAAGACAACCATTACCGCAACATCTAGTTCTCACACACGTTCATCACTTCAGGTTCCAACGTCAAGCCAGCTCATAGCACGAGGATCACTTTGGCGAATCACCACCAACACCAGCTCCAACAGCCCACTTCTTCACCCAAGACCTTTCTCAACTTCACCCCCACGTCCCGGAATCGGCCGTCATCAGTTACCGCCATCTTCAGCACCGAGAAACAGCGCCAATCACACCGAACCGTCTCCAACTTTCGACAACGCAGCGTCATCATCAATTCCCAAGCTTCTAGTCTCAAGATCCCCACCAAGAGAATCTTCACAGCCAACTATGCCGACGAACATTTCAGCTTCACCGACACAAGTCACCACACCTATTCCTCAAGTCGACACCGATAATCGAGAGAGTTCCACGCCGGGAGAAGATCATGCAGTCGTGCCGCCGTCGCAGCCGATGTCGCAGCCATTGTCTCAGCCGCAGATGACCGTGTCAACGCATCCAACCACTGTGAGACCGAACCCTACCATTGATTTGTCTCAGCCAAGTGAGGCTTTGGGTAAAGGTAAACGAGTCCTCCTCGCCATAGCCGCATATCTTGGTCTCCATATCCATCAAATGGATGTCAAGAACGCATTTCTCTACGGTGTCTTGGAAGA